TGGGGAGAGTTAACTATGACTGGTGCCTGTCATGCTTCTCGGCATCGTTTGTGTCTGAATTTATTTACTGCTCACAGCTTCCCCCAAGAGACAGATATAATTAATATTATCCTCATGGTACAGAGGAAGAGAAGAAATTGGCCCACCCTATGCATGTGGGAGGTAGGGGCCAGGGTGGACAGAAAGCAGGTATGGTTGCTGAGGATGGAGAATGGGGCGGGTAGCTGTGCTGCTATCTGAGCTCCACCTGCACACAGGCAACTGTCTGCTTGAGTGCCCAGAGCCTCTCCATCTGGTACGTCCAAACTGAACTCCTGACCTTTTTCTTCCCCTCCCCACACTCCACTATTAAGCCAGGTCTTCCCCCGTTGTCCACTCCAGTGAAGGCCACCGCCATCCATCCAGCCATCTAAGCCAGAAGGCTGGGTGGCATCCTGGGTTCCTCACTCTCCTTGATCTTCTGCCCCATCTGCTACCCTCTGAATATCCCTCCAATCCACTCCCTTCTCTCCCTATTCCCAGTCACCACCTAGTTCAAGCCGCCCTCATCCCTCACTTAGATGTCCGATCCCCTCCTTCTGCTCTGCTCCAGGCAGCAGCCAGAGTCGCCATTTACAAAGGACAGTTCTGCTCCAGGCCTTTCCCTGTCTCACACACCCTGTCCTGAGTGGTATGACCCCTGCTGACCCCTCTATGTCACCCAGCCCATGGCCTCTCTGAGTCTTTCAGCTTCAACTGCAGAGACTTCTAGATCCAGGTAGGCAGGTGCTTTTCCGCTCATTCACTCAGCAACCCCCAGTTCCTTCATTTACACCTGCTGGCTTAGGGTGTTGAAGCAGACAGGCTTGGCCCAGTCCTAGGGAGTTTACACCGAGGTATGTAGGTAAAGGCCCGAAATGAGTCCATTGGGTCTTAACATATGTTGCTCCTCTGCCTGAAAGTTTTTCTTTAAACTTCCACTCATGTGGTGCTTGCTTGGGACAACCTCCCTTGGATGGCCAGGCTGGGCCTGGCGGCTTTTTTGCACAGTACTGACCTCCATTGGCAAGGGTAACTTGTTACTATGCTTTGTTGACTAATGGCCATCTCCCCCTTCGACTGTAAGCCCCACAGGGGCAGGCCCTTGTCTATCTTGCTCATAGTTGTCTTCTAGGGCCAGGCTAGTAGACCCTTGCTAAATGTCTGTAGAAGGAATGATAGATTTACTTATTTATTTATTTATTAAAAAGGAGTCTCGCCAGGCACAGTGGCTCAAGCCTGTAATCCCAGCACTTTGGGAGGCCGAGGCGGGTGGATCACAAGGGGGGGTCAAGAGATCGAGACCATCCTGGTCAACATGGTGAAACCCTGTCTCTACTAAAAATACAAAAAATTAGCTGCGCGTGGTGGCGCATGCCTGTAATCCCAGCTACTCAGGAGGCTGAGGCAGGAGAATTGCCTGAACCCAGGAGGCAGAGGTTGCGGTGAGCCGAGATCACGCCATTGCACTCCAGCCTAGGTAACAAGAGCAAAAAACTCCATCTCAAAAAAAAAAAAAAAAAAAAAAAAAAAAAAAAAGGAGTCTCACTCTGTCACCCAGGCTGGCGTGTAGTGGTATGATCTCGGCTCAATGCAATCTCCACTTCCCGGGTTCACATGATTCTTCTGCCTCAGCCTCCTGAGTAGGTGCAATTACAAGAGCAGTGTGCCACAATTTCTTGTGGTATAATATACAAAACATAAAACATTTTAGTTAACCATTTTTAAGAATACAGTTCAGTGGCATAAGTACATTCATGTTGTGCAGCCATCACCACTATCCATCTCCAGGACTTTTTCAAAGTCCCCAACTAAAACTCTGCATCCATTAAACACCAACCTCCAACTCCTTCCTCCCCCAGCCACTGGCAGCCACCATTCTGCTTTCTGAATCTACGATTTGACCACTACAGGTACCTTATATAAGTGAAATCATACTTTCATCCTCTTGTGACTGCCTTATTTTGTTTAGCATAATATATTCAAGGGTCATCCATGATGTTGCAAGTACTTTAAAAAGCTTACAGCTGGCCAGGGGCAGTGACTCACACCTGTAATCCCAGCACTTTGGGAGGCTGAAGCAGGTGGATCACCTGAGATCAGGAGTTCAAGACCAGCCTGACCAACAGGGAGAAATTCCCCATCTTTACTAAAAATACAAAATTAGCTGGCCGTGATGTTGTATATCTGTAATCCCAGCTACTCAGGAGGTTGAGGCAGGAGAATCACTTGAACCCGGGAGGCAGAGGTTGCAGTGAGCTGAGATCGTGCCATTGCATTCTAGCCTGGGCAACAAGAGCAAAACTCCATCTCAAAAAAAAAAAAAAAAAAAGTTTACAATTTTACAATTATAAATCCTTCCTCGGTCCCTCTGAGATATATACCTATGTATTTTCTACAACCTAGGAACGTCTTTCTCAATAACCTGAAATCCATTCCTCTGAAACGTAATCATTAGAAAGCTACGGCTCATGTCTCCCAGTCTATGTGGGAAGACAGGATCCTAACTTCCCTAACTGCCAGCTAGCAGACAAGTTGGCCTAGCGACATTTATGCTAACCAATCCTTTTAATTTCTCATTTCCCAGACTCTAAGTGAGCCCTTGCTCACTCCCCCTCCTATGGAACACCCAATCACCACTGCACAAATAGAATGGAGTTCAGCTCTTTCCCCTACTGTCAGTAGTTACCGAATAAAATCTATTTTCACCACTTTAATGCTTGTTATCTTAACAATATCAATGATACTTATCATTAATGATATTATTAATATCTTTAATAATATCATTAACTTGAGTTCTATCTTATGGTCCTTTTTGTTTGGTTTTCTAGTGAAGATGAAATTTTCTTTGAGTAAAATATGCAAATATTAAACGTACCATTAGATAATTTTGACAAATTCATACACCCAAAACTCCTATCAAGATGTAGATTAAGGATGAGGAGAAATTTGAACTCTTGTGGATTGCTAATGGGAATGTCAAATGGTTCAGCTTGCTGTGAAAAATGGTATGGTGGTTTCTCAATACATTAAACTAGAATTACCATATGATCCAGCAATTTCACTTCTGAGTGTACACCCAAATGAATTAAAAAGAGAGCAGGGCCGGGCGCGGTGGCTCAAGCCTGTAATCCCAGCACTTTGGGAGGCTGAGGCGGGTGGATCACAAGGTCAAGAGATCGAGACCATCCTGGACAACATGGTGGAACCCCGTCTCTACCAAAAATACAAAAAATTAGCTGGACATGGTGGTGCATGCCTGTAATCCCAGCTACTCAGGAGGCTGAGGCAGGAGAATTGCTTGAATCCAGGAGGCGGAGGTTGCGGTGAGCCAAGATCGTGCCGTTGCACTCCAGCCTGGGTAACAAGAGCGAAACTCCGTCTCAAAAAAAAAAAAAACAACATAAAAAGAGAGCAGGAACTCAAACAGATATTTATACACCCACGTTCATAGCAGAATTATTCATAATAGCTAAAAGGTGGAAGCTATCTGTGTCCCTGACTGCATGAATGGATAAACTAATTGTGGTAGATACATACAATGGAATACTATTTGGCCATAAAAAGGAAGGAGGCCAGGCACAATGGCCACACCTGAAATAGCACAGGCCGGGCACGGTGCCTCACGCCCATAATCCCAGCACTTTGGGAGGCCAAGGCGGGTGGTTCACGAGGTCAAGAGATCGAGACCATCCTGGTCAACATGGTGAAACCCCGTCTTTACTAAAAATACAAAAAACTAGCTGGGCATGGTGGCGCATACCTGTAATCCCAGCTACTCAGGAGGCTGAGGCAGGAGAATTACTTAAACCCAGGAGGTGGAGGTTGCGGTGAGCCGAGATCGCGCCATTGCACTCCAGCCTGGGTAACAAGAGCAAAACTCCATCTCAAGAAAAAAAAAAAAAAAAAAAAAAGAAATATCAGCATTTTGGGAGGCCAACGTGGGTGGATTGCTTGAGCCCAGGAGTTTAAGACCCATCTGGGCAACATAGTAAGACCTGACTCTGAAAAAATAAAATAGAACTAGCCAGGCACGGAGGGGTGTGCCTGTAGTTGGGAGGATGGCTTGAGCTCAGGAGGTCTAGACAGCAGTGAGCACCATTGCACCACTGCACTTCAACCTGGATGACAGGGTGAGACCCTGTCTCAAAAAAAAAAAAAGAGTAAGCGCTCTAGGAAAGGGAGGCATTGGCTGAAACAAATGGTGAATTCTTTTGGCACCCCTGAGCTTTCTCTCGCAGGCATTTTAAAGGGGCCTAGGTTTCCCTAGATATCAGGTCTTAGGCTGTTAAACTGAGCATGAAGCCATGCTAGAGTTTAGTCAAGTCTCTTAGGGCAGTGGCTCGGGCAGTCCTTAAATGCTGAGGGTTCTCTGCAGTTCTCAATTAGCAGGCGAAAGTTTTTATGTATGAAAGGTACTGATATCTCTAATTTACTTTGTATCAAAAAAGAGGATGAACCGCTGGATGCAGACGGCAGGTGATAAACCGGACACAGCAAATGTTACTGGTAGACAGTCTGTCCCCCAACCGGGAGCGGTGGCTCACGCCTGTAATCTCGCCGAGGCAGGATGATCACGAGGTCAGGAGTTCGAGACCATCCTGGCCAACATAGTGAAACGCCGTCTCTTAAAAAAAAAAAAAAAAAAAAAAGAGTCTGTCACCCAATGACTAAAACATTAACTCGAGGAGGGCAGCGACTTTGTCGGCCCTGGCACATAGGCGGTCAACAAATATTTGTAGAATGAACGAACAATACTTTAACGGGCTTAGGACAAACGAGTGCACAAAAACGGGAAGCTTTCTCGACCCTGCTGCGGCAGGAACCCGGACGGTGGAACAGAAGCACAGCAAATGCGCGGGACCTGGCGGAGTCGCTCTGGCTTCCTGGAGCCTCGGCTCTATGGTGGGTCCTCCCGGGGCGGTGGAACCGCTCTGGCCTCTCGTGGCGTCCGCTCTATGGCGGTCCTCCGGGGACGCAGGAGCATGCGCAGGACTGCTCCCGGCCGCGATCACTATGGTAGCGGCGTCTTCGTGGGCCCGGGCGCCGCGGTCCTGCCCAGGCGCGGCTGCCTCAACAGCTGCCCCTCTTGCAGCCTCTCGGGCATGAACCGAGCCTTCTGTTGCCTCCCGCTACCCTACCCGCCGTTGCCCTTGCATCCCGACTCTGGGCCCCCGCTGGGAACATGCCTCTGGCTTCCTACTGCTACCTGCGGGTCGTGGGCAAGGGAAGCTACGGAGAGGTGACACTCGTGAAGCACCGGCGGGACGGCAAGCAGGTCTGCAGCGGTGCGGCCCAGTAAGGGGGCGGGGCGGGCAGGGGGGCGCCGGGGGCGCCGTCCGGTTGTTGAGGTCGGGGGTGGTCGCAAGGGGCCCAGCTTGGATGGCGTTTCCTCAGGGAAGTGGTCCCAGACCAACACGAGGCCAGGCCTCCCTGTAATACGCGCCCCAAACTTCCTCTACTAATTTGTTGTATTAAATTTTTTTCCTTTTAGTTTTCATTGTCTTTAATTACGATTCTTCGTTTTATGTAAAAATTTTCAGTGTCTGCCTATCGACCTCTTTGTTGTATTAACTGGCATGGTTGATCTACACATCTGTCTCCCACCCCGATAATCTCATGAGAACAGACAGGGACCATGCTTTCCCAGGACTTAATACGGCGCCTAGCAAGCATGAGTTCTTGAATGAAGGGCCCCAAACGTCTCTACTGTAGACTGCTGGACTCACTTAAAACTCCCGTCAAACCTCTTAGGTCTTCCATTTCAGTGAAGAGCGCCAGCAACCCACCAGTTGCCCAGGCCGGACTCCTGAGAGTCATTTTTAAGCCTCCCCACGCCCCCCGACACTGATTATATTCATCTATCACTAAGACAATAGGCCTAGTCTCATCTTTACTGGTACCACCCGAATCCAGGACACCCTGTTTTCTGTAGCTAAGCTATGGCCAGGTTTCCCAGCTGGTCACCGCCACTTGACTTGCTTTTCTCCAATCCATCACTTTCATTGCAACCTCAGTGATCTTTCTAAAATTTAAATCTGATGTTGTTACTCCTCGTTTGTTTAAAACACTATCCCATTACCCTCAGGATAACGAATCAGTTCTTTGATGTGGTTTATTAATAGGATGACAATATAATGTATTGTACAAACTGGGACAATTTTGAAACTGAAAGGCTCCAGGCAAGCTGAGAGATGTCTCTCTTAAATATAGGGCCCAATTGTCTGTTCTCGTTGCTCAGCCTGGAACACAAGCTCGTGCATAAGAGATTTATTCAGCAGGCATTGGGGGATCATTGGATTTTGGGGCTGATAATAGAAAACTAGCAAATAGTTATCTGAGCTTTAGTTTACACTTCACAAAGCACATTTATATATGTGTTGAAGAAATGAATTGTATGGTCTTTGACTTGATTGAGGGCAATGTATTAGGTGTTAGAGACTATTGATTTCTTTTAAGTATGAATAATTTTGTATGTTGAGGATCAGTGACTATTAAACTTATTGGGCCATGGGTCCCTTTGAGTATCTAATGTAATCCATAGACCATTCTGTCTGCAAATATATATTCAGGCCGTATTTTATGCACCTTTTTGGGGGAGCTGAGATAGTAAGGAATTTCTTTTTTCTTTTCTTTTCTTTTCTTTTTTTTGAGATGGAGTCTTGCTTTGTTTCCCAGGCTGGAGTGCAGTGGCGTGGTGTCGGCTCAGTGCTACAACTTCTGCCTCCTGGGTTCAAGCAATTCTCCTACATCAGCCTCCTGAGTAGCTGGGACAATGAGTGCACACTACCATACCAGGTGTTTTTGTATTTTTAGTAGAGACAGGGTTTCACCATGTTGGCCAGTCTGGTCTTGAACTATTGACCTCAGGTGATCCACTTGCCTCACCCTCCCAAAGTGCTGGGATTACAGGTGTGAGCTACCACATCCAGCCAGATATTAAGGAATTTCTAACACAGGTTTAATGATTGATCCAATGGCATGTTGTCTTGAACTCCCTTTTTTAGTTATTAATGAAATTGTGAAATGCAGATGGAAAAGGTAATTTTTTGTGGCCTTAGACTGCTGTAAATCTAACTTATAAGAAGTATCATGAATGTTGGAAACAGATGCTTGGTGACGCAAAGAAAAATCAGCACTGAGACAAAGGATCTCTCAGCAAGGCAATTTTATTTTATGCAGAAAGGGTGCTACCCATCAGCAATCATGCTACAAGAGCACAATGAACAAAGGAAAGGCAGGAATATTAATTCCTTACTGCATTGGGTCCTTACTGCTGTGTCTTATCTCCATTGGTTGGAGCTGGACATCACAGTCTAAGCTAAACCCAATTGGCTAACAACTTAAATTTTTATTTTTTATTTTATTTATTTATTTATTTATTTATTTACTTTTTGAGGCAGAGTTTCACTCTTGTTACCCAGGCTGAGTGCAATGGCGCAATCTCGGCTCACCGCAGCCTCCGCCTCCCGGGTTCAGGCAATTCTTCTGCCTCAGCCTCCTGAGTAGCTGGGATCACAGGCATGCGCCACCATGCCCAGCTAATTTTTTGTATTTTTAGTAGAGACGGGGTTTCACCTTGTTGACCAGGATGGTCTCGATCTCTTGACCTTGTGATCCACCCGCCTCGGCCTCCCAAAGTGCTGGGATTACAGGCTTGAGCCACCGTGCCTGGCCTTAAATTTGTATTTTATTTTATTTTTATTTTCATGCCTTCACTTCATGTTTATTCCTTTTTTTTAAATTGCATTTTAGGTTTTGGGGTACATGTGAAGAACATGCAGGATTGTTGCATAGGTACACACATGGCAAGGTGATTTGCTGCCTTCCTCCCTATCACTTATATCTGGCATTTCTCCCTATGCTATCTCTCCCCAACTCCCCACCCCCCGCTGTCGTTCCCCTATTTCCCCCCAACAGACCCCAGTGTATGATGCTCCCCTCCCTGTGTCCATGTGTTCTCATTGTTCAGCACCCACCTATGAGTGAGAACATGCGGTGTTTGAGTTTCTGTTCTTGTGTCAGTTTGCTGAGAATGATGGTTTCCAGGTTCATCCATGTCCCTACAAAGGACACGAACTCATCGTTTCTGATGGCTGCGTAATATTCCATGGTATATATGTGCCACATTTTCCCTGTCCAGTCTATCATCGATGGGCATTTGGGTTGATTCCAGGTCTTTTCTATTGTAAACAGTGCTGCAATGAACGTTCGTGTGCATGTGTCCTTACAGTAGAACGATTTATAATCCTTCGGATATATACCCAGTAATGGGATTGCTGGGTCAAATGGAATTTCTATGTCTAGGTCCTTGAGGAATCGCCACACCGTCTTCCACAATGGTTGAACTAATTTACACTCCCACCAACAGTGTAAAAGTGTTCCTATTTCTCCACATCTTCTCCAGCATCTATTGTCTCCAGAATTTTTAATGATTGCCATTCTAACTGGCATGAGGTGGTATCTCAAGTGTAGTTTTTATTTGCATTTCTCTAACATGCCAGTGATGAGGATTTTTTCATATGTTTGTTGGCCTCATGTATGTCTTCTTTTGTGAAGTAACTCACTTTTACATGGGCTTGTTTGTTTTCTTCGTGTAAATCTGTTTTAGTTCTTTGTAGATTCTGGATATCAGCCCTTTGTTGGGTGGGTCGATTGCAAAAATTTTTTCCCATTCTGTTGGTTGCCGATTCACCCTAATGACTGTTTCTTTTGCTGTGCAGAAGCTGTGGAGTTTGATTAGGTCCCATTTGTCAATTTTGGCTCTTGTGGCCAATGCTTTTGGTGTTTTGGTCATGAAGTCCTTGCCTTTGCCTATGTCCCGAATGGTTTTGCCTAGATTCTCTTATAGGGTTTTTATGGTGTTAAGTCTTATGTTTAAGTCTTTAACCCATCTGGAGTTAATTTTAGTGTAAGGTGTCAGGAAGGGGTCCAGTTTCTGCTTTCTGCACATGGCTAGCCAGTTTTCCCAACAGCATTTATTAAACAGGGACCCCTTTCCCTATTGCTTGTTTTTGTCAGGTTTGTCAAAGATCAGATGGTTGTAGATGTGTGGTGTTGCCTTCGAGGCCTCTGTTCTGTTCCAGTGGTCTATGTCTCTGTTTTGGTACCAGTACCATGCTGTTTTGATTACTGTAGCCTTGTAGAAGAGTTTGAAGTCTGGTAGTGTGATGCCTCTCACTTTGTTCTTTTTGCTTAGAATTGACTTGGCTATGCGGGCTCTCTTTTGGTTCTATATGAAGTTTAAGGTGGTTTTTTCCAGTTCTGTGAAGAAGGTCATTGGTAGCTTGATGGGGATAGCATTGAATCTGTAAATTACTTTGGGCAGTATGGCCATTTTCACGATATTGATTCTTCCTAACCATGAACATGGAATGTTTCTCCATCTGTTTGTGTTCTCTCTTATTTCGTTGAGCAGTGGTTTGTAGTTCTCCTTGAAGAGGTCCTTTACGTTCCTTGTTTGTTGTATTCCTAGGTATTTTATTATCTTTGTAGCAACTGTGAATGGCAGTTTGTTCTTGATTTGGCTCTCTTTAAGTCTGTTATTGGTGTATGGAATGCTTGTGTGATTTTTGCACATTGATTTTGTATCCTGAGACTTTGCTGAAGTTGCTTATCAGTTTCAGGAGATTTTGGGCTGAGATGATGGTGTCTTCTAGATATACAATCATGTCGTCTGCAAATAGAGACAATTTGACTTCCTCCTTTCCTATTTGAATACGCTTTATTTCTTTTTCTTGCCTGATTGCTCTGGCTAGAACTTCCAATACTATATTGAATAGGAGTGGTGAGAGAGGGCATCCTTATCTAGTGCCAGATTTTAAAGGGAATGCTTCCAGTTTTTGCCCATTCAGTATGATACTGGCTGTGGGTTTGTCGTAATTAGCTTTTATTATTTTGAGATACGTTCCATCGATACGTAGTTTATTGAGAGTTTTTAGCATAAAGGGCTGTTGAATTTTGTCAAAGGCCTTCTCTGCATCAATTGAGATAATCATGTGGTTTTTGTCTTTGGTTCTGTTTATGTGGTGAATTACATTTATAGACTTGCGTATGTTGAACCAGCCTTGCATCCCCGGGATGAAGCCTACTTGATCGTGGTGGATAAGCTTTTTGATGTGCTATTGCAATCAGTTTGCTAGTATTTTATTGAAGATTTTTGCATCTATGTTCACCGTGAATATTGGCCTGAAGTTTTCTTTTCTTGCTGAGTCTCTGCCAGGTTTTGGTATCCAGATGATGTTGGTCTCATAAAATGATTTGGGAAGGATTCCCTCTTTTTGGATTGTTTGGAATAGTTTCAGAAGGAATGGTACCAGCTCCTCTTTGTATGTCTGGTAGAATTCGACTGTGAACCCATTTGGACCTGGGCTTTTTTTGGGTAGTAGGCTCTTAATTGCTGCCTCAACTTCAGACCTTGTTATTGGTCTATTCAGGGTTTCAACTTCTTCCTGGTTTAGCCTTGGGAGGATGCAAGTGTCCAGGAATTTATCCATTTCTTCCAGGTTTACTAGTTTATGTGCATAGAGTTGTTTGTCATAATCTCTGATGATGGTTTGTATTTCTGTGGAATCTGTGGTGATATCCCCTTTATCGTTTTTTATTGCATCTATTTGATTATTCTCTTCGTTTTTATTAATCTGGCCAGTGGTCTATTTTGTTGATCTTTTTGAAAAACCAGCTCCTGGATTTATTGATTTTTTTGAAGGGTTGTTTGTGTCTCTATCTCCTTCAGTTCTGCTCTGATCTTAGTTATTTCTTGTCTTCTGCTAGGTTTTGAGTTTTTTTAATCTTGCTCCTCTAGCTCTTTCAATTTTGATGATAGGGTGTTGATTTTAGATCTTTCTTTGCTTCTCATGTGGGCATTTATTGCTATATATTTTCCTCTAGACACTGCTTTAAATGTGTCCCAGAGATTCTGGTGTGTTGTGTCTTTGTTCTTGTTGGTTTCGAAGAACATCTTTATTTCTGCCTTCATTTCATTGTTTATACAGTCAACATTCAAGAGCCAGTTGTTCGGTTTCCATGAAGCTGTGCAGTTCTGAGTTAGTTTCCCAATTCTGAGTTCCAACTTGATTGCACTCTGGTCTGAGAGACTGTTTGTTATAATTTCTGTTCTTTTGCATTTGCTGAGGAGTGATTTACTTCCAATTATGTGGTCAATTTTACAGCAGATGTGATGTGGTGCTGAGAAGAATGTATATTCTGTGGATTTAGGGTGGAGGGTTCTGTAAATGTCTATTAGGTTTGCTTGTTCCAGGTCTGAGTTCAAGTCCTGGATATCCTTGTTGATTTTCTGTCTGGTTGATCTGTCTAATATTGACAATGGAGTGTTAAAGTCTCCCACTATTATTGTGTGGGAGTCTAAGTCTCTTTGTAAGTCATTAAGAACGTGTTTTATGTATCTGGGTGCTCCTGTATTGGGTGCATATATATTTAGGATCATTAGCTCTTCTTGTTGCAGTGATACTTTTACCTATGAACTGTCCTTCTCTGTCTCTTTTGATCTTTGTTGGTTTAAAGTCTATTTTATCAGAGACGAGAATTGCAACTCCTGCTTTTTTTTTTTTTTTTTTTTTTTTTTTTTGCTCTCCATTTGCTCGGTAAATCTTTCTTCATCCCTTTATTTTGAGCCTTTGTGTATCCTTGCATGTCAGATGGGTTTCCTGGATACAGCACACTGATGGGTTTTGGCTTTTTGTCCAATTTGCCAGTCTGTGTCTTTTGATTGGGGGCATTTAGCCCATTTACATTTAGGGTTAATATTGTTATTTGTGAATTTGAGCCTGCCATTTTGATGCTAGCTGGCTGTTTTGCCCGTTAGTTGATGCAGTTTCTTCATTGTGTTGATGCTCTTTACCATTTGGTATGTTTTTGGAGCGGCTGCTACTGGTTGTTCCTTTCTACGTTTAGTGCCTCTTTCAGGAGCTCTTGTAAAGCAGGTCTGGTGGTGATGAAATCTCTGAGTACTTTCTTGTTTGTAAAGGATTTTATTTTTCCTTCACTTATGAAGCTTAGTTTGGCTGGATATGAAATTCTGGGTTGAAAGTTCTTTTCTTTAAGGATGTTGAATATTGGCCCCCACTCTCTTCTGGCTTGTAGGGTTTCTGCTAAGAGATCTGCTGTGAGTCTGATGGGCTTCCCTTTGTGGGTAACCCGATCTTTCTCTCTGGCTGCCCTTAGCATTTTCTCCTTCATTTCAACCCTGGTGAATCTGATGATTATGTGCCTTGGGGTTGCTCTGCTTGAGGAATATCTTTGTGGTGTTCTCTGTATTTCCTGGACTTGAATATTGGCCTGCCTTGCTAGGTTGGGGAAGTTTTCCTGGATAATACCCTGAAGAGTATTTTCCAGCCTGGATTCATTCTCTCCGTCACATTCAGGTACACCTATGAAACGTAGATTAGATCTTTTCACATAGTCCCATATTTCTTGGAGACTCTTTTCATTCCTTTTTATCCTTTTTTCTCTAATCTTGCCTTCTCATTTTATTTCATTGAGTTGATCTTTGACCTCTGATATCCTTTCTTCTGCTTGGTCAATTTGGCTCTTGAAACTTGTGTATGCTTCATGAAGTTCTCGTGTTGTGTTTTTCAGCTCCATCAATTCACTTATATTCCTCTCTAAGTTGTTTATTCTTGTTAGCATTTTGTCAAATCTTTTTTCAAGGTTCTTAGTTTCTTTGCATTGGGTTAGAACATGTTATTTTAGCTCACAGAATTTTTTTATTACCCACCTTCTGAAGACTGATTCTGTCAATTCATCACACTCATTCTCCATCCAGCCTTGTTCCCTTGCTGGTGAGGAATTGTGATCCCTTGTAGGAGGAGAGGCGTTCTGGTTTCGGGTGTTTTCATCCTTTTTGCACTGGTTTCTTCCCATCTTTGTGGATTTATCCACCTGTCGTCTTTGTAGTTGTTGACTTTCAGATTAGGTCTCTGAGTGGATGTCCAGTTTGTTGATGATGAAGTTATTTTTTCTGTTTCTTAGTTTTCCTTCTGACAGTCAGGCCCCTCTGCTATAGGACTGCCAAGGTCCACTTCAGGCCCTGCTTGTCTGGGGATCACCTGCAGTGACAGCAGAACAGTAAGGGTTGCTGCCAGTTTCTTCTTCTGTTATCTTTGTCCCAGAAGGATACCCACCAGATGTCAGTCTGAGCTCTTCTTTATGAGGTGACTCTTTGGATATACGGGGGTCAGGGAGCTGCTTGAGGAGACAGTCTGTCCTTTATAGGAGCTCAAGTGCTGAGCTGTGAGCTCCGTTGTTCATTCAGAGTTGCTGGGCAGGTACGTTTAAGTCTGCTGCAGCATAACTCATAAACCCCCTCTTTTTCCCCAGGTGCTCTGTCCTGGGGAGTTAGGGTTTTAATTATGAGTTTCTGTTGTGCTGCTGCCTTTTTTCAGGGCTGTCCTGCCCAGCAAGGAGGCAGCCTAGTCACTGTCTGCCTGCAGAGGTTTTGGTGAGCTGCTGTGGGCTCCGCCCAGCTGCCATGTGAACTTCCCTGCAGTCCTGTTTATACAGGTATTTAGAACTGCCTTGGCAGTGGTGGCCCACCTCTATAGTGGTGGACTCTCTCTTAATGGCATGCTGCCTCAGCAATGGTGGACTACCTCTGTAGTGGTGGACTGCCTCGGTAATGTCGGATGCCCCTCCCCCACAGAGCTGGACCATCCCAGCTTCAGCTGTGCTTACTGTGAAACTCTCAATCTAGAGCGTTTCCCATTGCTGTTTTTTTTTGTGGGAGTGGGACCAGCTGAGCCTGATCACCTGGCTCCCTACCTCAGACCCCCCCCCCCCTTTTTTTTTTAAAGTGGAATGGTCAACTCTGCCTCCCAGGTGTTCCACTCACCTATTGAAAAGGCACCGGGATCTGTGTGATTTCCCGAGCAGCGACCCACTGCGCCTGCTGAAACAGCTGCTGAGATTCGTGGCGCTTTTTTGCCTGGGAATCTCCTGGCCTGGCTCCCTGTTTCAGTCCCCTTTTTTATCAGTTGAATGGGTGACTCTGTCTCCCAGGAGCTCCAATTGCCAGCTAAAATGGCACCCGGACCCATGTATTTTGTATGGAGAACCGCCGGGCCAGGGCGCCGGCCAACAGGTGTGCTGGCGACCTGTGGGGCTCCTCCGCCTGGGAGTCTCCTGGTCTGTGGACAATAAAAATCCATCTGGAAATACGGTGTCCACTCACCGTCTGTGATTTCTCTGGGAGCTGCAATCCTGAGCTCCTCCTAATTGGCCATCTTGGATTCATCTCCCAAAATTTTTCTTTTTCTTTTTTTTTTTGAGACAGAGTTTCACTCTTGTTACCCAGGCTGGAGTGCAATTGCGCGATCTTGGCTCACCGCAACCTCCGCCTCCTGGGTTCAGGCAATTCTCCTGCCTCAGCCTCCTGAGTAGCTGGGATTACAGGCATGTGCCACCATGCCCAGCTAATTTTTTGTATTTTTAGTAGAGATGGGGTTTCACCATGTTGACCAGGATGGTCTTGATCTAGTTGACCTCGTGATCCACCCGCCTTGGCCTCCCAAAGTGCTGGGATTACAGGCTTGAGCCACCGCGCCCGGCTGGAACTTTTTACTTTCTACAATGAATAATAGCAAATATTTTCCCTGATTTTGTACTTGGTGAGAAACAAAATGAATAGGTTATCTGACGGGCCACAAGGTTGTTTTTGAGGATTTTTTTTTTTTTTTTTTTTTTCTGTTACGGAGTTTCGCTCGTTACTCAGGCTAGAGTGCAATGGTGCGATCTCGGCTCACCGCAACCTCCGCCTCCTGGGTTCAGGCAATTCTCCTGCCTCAGCCTCCTGAGTAGCTGGGATCACAGGCATGTGCCACCATGCCCAGCTAATGTTTTGTATTTTTAGTAGAGATGGAGTTTCATCATGTTGACCAGGATGGTCTCGATCTCTTGACCTTGTGATCCACCCGCCTCAGCCTCCCGAAGTGCTGGGATTACAGGCTTGAGCCACCGCACCCGGCCTTTTTTTTTTTTTTTTAAGAACCTGATAAAGCTTATAAGTGTTTGAGGATATTCTTGAGAGCCCTTAGGTAACTCTGAGGCCACAAATCTTATGTTTATTTGCACATTGTAAAATACATGTTCTCTTTTTAGTACGTCATCAAAAAACTGAACCTCCGAAATGCCTCTAGCCGAGAGCGGCAAGCTGCTGAACAGGAAGCCCAGCTCTTGTCTCAGCTGAAGCATCCCAACATTGTCACCTACAAGGAGTCCTGGGAGGGAGGAGACGGTCTACTCTACATTGTCATGGGTTTCTGTGAAGGAGGTGATCTGTACCGAAAGCTCAAGGAACAGAAAGGGCAGCTTCTGCCTGAGAATCAGGTGGTAGAGTGGTTTGTACAGATCGCCATGGCTTTACAGGTACTGTGTAGACCAGGCATCCCCAAACTACGGCCCCCTGAAGCCATTTATCTGGCCCCCACCCCGCACTTCAGGAAGGGGCACCTCTTTCATTGGTGGTCAGTGAGAGGGGCACAGTATGTGGCGGCCCTCCAACGGTCTGAGGGACAGTGAACTGGCCCCCTGTGTAAAAAGTTTGGGGACGCCTGGTGTAGACTAATGGCATCCCAGCTTGCTCCCATATGGCAAGGAGATGGCAGGTATACTTTGGGAAAATGTTTTCTTCAAATACTTACATATAGAAATGTACCCAATCACTTTTGCTGTAACATTGGAACTTTTCTAGCAAGTGATACCTATATTAAAATAGATTTCATATCTAATTGCAGGGGAAGCCCAGTCTTTTAATATCAATAGCAAAGTCAATTTGAAGGACCCTGAGGCAACCAAGAGCAAAGAGTGACTATGTTTGTTATCTGTTGGTCAGCTATGTCATGCTGAAAGGTGACTAGGTTAATTAATATGCCCAGTGATTTCATCTGTCACTCTGCTGTGGTACGGCAGATGGAAATGCAAAACAAGTTTTCTTTTTTTTTATTTTTTAGAATTGGGCAACACTTCATTCCATAAGCTGGAATAAGCGTTCCTAGAAGTTTGTGTTTTAATATACACATAACTCAAAAGTGAGACTTATTTATGAAATACTATTTTGGAACTGGGCAGACTTGTTCAGAATTAATTGACCCTGTTTAAATTCTAAGATACTTTCTCTAAATAAAAATGCTCTTGATATATTCGAAAATACTATTAAGCTGAGGATTTTATGGGTCCGAGAGGACTGTATCTGACTGTATAAGTTGTCCTACCTTCAGTGGGAGTTTGTAAGCTTTTTTTTTTTTTTTTTTTTTTTTTAAGATGGAGTCTCACTTTGTCACCCAGGCTGGAGTGCAGTGGCACGATCATGGCTCATTGCAACCTCTGCCTCCTAGGTTCAAGTGATTCTTGTGCCTTAGCCTCCCAAGTAGCTGGGATTGTAGGTATGTGCAACCATACCTAGCTAATTTTTGTATTTATTTAGTAGAGATGGGGTTTTGCCATGTTGGCCAGGCTGGTCTTGAACGCCTGCCTCAAGTGATCCACCCACCTTGGCCTCCCACAGTGCTGGCTACCACTGTGCCTGGCCTATGAGCATATTTTTAAACTGGATTTATGTAATGCTAAAATCTATTGTTTTCAAGCTACCAGGGAGCAGTTTTGAGGGGCACTGGGCAAGTCAATGGAGGGAACTTAATTTTCTTATTTCAAAAATTGTAAATTAGACCTTTTATTTAGAGATTATGAAGCAATAATGTTTGGTAGGTGTTGGTCGAATAAAATAATTTTGTATGGTTGGTTACTCTTTATGGTCAATTACTCTCTTTTTTGAGATGAATTTCGCTTTTGTTGCCCAGGCTGAAGTGCAATGGTGTGATCTTGGCTCACTGCAACCTCTGCCTTAGCTGGGATTACAGGTATGCACTACCATGCCAGGCTAATTTTGTATTTTTAGTAAAGATGGAGTTTCTCCATGTTGATCGGGTTGGTCTTAAACTCCTGACCTCAGGTAATCTGCCCGCCTCAGCCTCTCAAAGTGCTGGGATTATAGCTATGAGCCAGTGTACCTGGCCTGTGGTCAATTACTGTTCATGGTCAAAGACTCTTAACTCATGCCATTGCTGATGGTATATAATAAGGCAGGAATAAATATGTAATTAAGTCTATTTATATGTAATAAAATCTTATTTCTTTCGTCAGTATTTACATGAAAAGCACATCCTTCATCGAGATCTGAAAACTCAAAATGTCTTCCTAACAAGAACAAACATCATCAAAGTGGGGGACCTAGGAATTGCCCGAGTGTTAGAGAACCACTGTGACATGGCTAGCACCCTCATTGGCACACCCTACTACATGAGCCCTGAATTGTTCTCAAACAAACCCTACAACTATAAGGTAGGACTGGGCTCTGTATGCTGGCTCATGTTGTCTCTGGGAGAGTACTTATAATTTCAGAAATTAGTTAATCAGAGAACTATCTGTGAATCTGTTTAAGGAAAATGTTTTCTTTTTTTTAAAGGAAAAAATTTAAATAAGTGATTCTGACATTTAACCATTTACTATTTTTATTTTCTAGTCTGATGTTTGGGCTCTAGGATGCTGTGTCTATGAAATGGCTACCCTGAAGCATGCTTTCAATGCAAAAGATATGAATTCTTTAGTTTATCGGATTATTGAAGGAAAGGTAAAGAATAATCTAGAACTAATTGAGTAGTGTTTCTATAGTGCAGCCTTATAAATAGCTACTAGCAAAATCATTGATGATATTGATGAGTCATGGAGTAATACCTGATATTGGGTTGATAGTTAGGAATGGTGGGTCCCTTCTGTGGGGAAAGTCAGACTAGAGTAAAAGGGATCGATGAATCATATCTTAATATTAATCTGTAAGATGGCTTAATGGCTCAAAATAATTGGCTTTTTGAAAACATATGCCTATAATCATAGGATATGCAGATGCCCTGAGAGGCTATTTATATCTTCTTCTAAGCAACCTATGATTCAATGAACTACCTTTAAAATAAGTTTACTCTGTTCAAACTTGACATTCCTTTGATAATCATCACAATAATCAGTAGCTAATTAAGAACCTCAGAAAGCATTATGTTTGAAATGGACTCCAAAGTGACTGGTTTTATGTGTTAGTTCCATAAGGCTAGCTGCCCTTTATAGTGTCAGGCATCCATGTACCGTTAAGTTTTTTTTGTTTTTGTTTTTTTTTTTTGAGATCACTGCAACCTCCTTCTCCCAGGTTCAAGCAATTCTCATGCTTCAGATTACCAAGTAGCTGAGATTACAGGCACATGCCACCACACCTGGCTAATTTTTGTATTTTTAGTACAGACAGGGTTTCACAATGTTGTCCAGGCTGGTCTGGAACTCCTGACCTCAGGTAATCTGCCTGCCTTGGCCTCCTAAAATGCTGGGATTGCAGGCGTGAGCCATTGCCCCCAGCCAATGTACCATTAAGTTTTAAAGGCCATGAATCACCTACTGATTTTAGTATCTCACAACTCATTTAATTTTTCAATTTGAAACACATTGAAAAACAGACACAGAAGTAAAATTTTCTCATAATGCCACTACTTAAGAATCAAACAAGAAGTGAGTGAAATTCTTTTCTCTTTCTATGCCCATTCCCTGGAAGATGACTATTGCTAGCAGTTTGGCTCATTGCCTTTCTGGCTTTTTCCTGTCTTTATACAGACATAACTCTGTGTGTGTGTGTGTGTGCGTGTGTATGTGCGTGCGTGTGTGTGTGTGCGCGTGCGCTCACGTACGTACACCCACAGATTTTTGAAAGAAACTGAAATGGAATCGGGCTGTTAATATGATACATAATTTGTTTTTTTGACTCTATATATGAGGGACATCTTTCCAAGTTGGTACCTGTAAGTTTTGTATTTTTTAACCTGCTGCCTAGTGTTTTTTTTTTTTTTTGAAACGGAGTCCTAATCTGTCGCCCAGCCTAGAGTGCAGTGGCATGATCTTGACTTACATCAACCTCCACCTCCCTGGTTTGAGCAATTCCTCTGCCTCAGCCTTTCGAGTAGCTGGGATTACAGGTGCATGCCACCATGTCCAGCTAATTTTTTGTTTTTGAAACACAGTCTCACTCTGTCTGTCACCCAGGCTGGAGTGCAATGGCACAATCTTGGCTCACTGCAACCTCCACCTCCCGGGTCCAAGTGATTCTCTGCCTTAGCCTCCTGAGTAGCTGGGACTGCAGGTCCACCACCATGCCCTGCCAACTTTTGTATTTTTGGTAGAGACAGGGTTTCACCATATTGGCCAGGCTGGTCTCCAACTCCTGACCTCGTGATCTGTCCTCCTTGGCCTCTCAAAGTGCTGGGATTACAGGTGTGAGCCACTGCACCCAGCCAGTTTTCTTGTATTTTTAGTGTAGATGGGGTTTCACCATGTTGGCCAGACTGGTCTTGAACTATTGACCTCAGGGAATCTGCCTGCCTCTGCCTCCCAAAGTGCAGGGATTATAGGCATGAACCACCGCACCTGAACCTAGTTTCTATAAGAAGAATGTATGATAATTTATTCTACAAATTCCCTATGGATGAACACTTATGTTGTTTCCAATTGTTCACTACTGCAAGAACAGTACTGCATCGAACATCCTGGTCCATAAGTCTTTAGGAAACTCATGCTCTTATTCCTCAATGAGAGAGTCATCAAATGGGACTGCTGGATTGAAGGATATACTTTTACAATTTTACAACTTGTTATCTCACAACTGGGATGCCAGTATACTTCCCGTAGACTAATATACTGATTGTTTTCTGCTTATGTGGATATATGACTTTAAATAAATATCGGGAAACCTCTACCAGCTTTTACTTTGTTTCACAAGACCATTAGTCTATTTACAGTATTATTTTTCTTTGTAGCTGCCGCCAATGCCAAGAGATTATAGCCCAGAGCTGGCAGAACTGATAAGAACAATGCTGAGCAAAAGGCCTGAAGAAAGGCCGTCTGTGAGGAGCATTCTGAGGCAGCCTTATATCAAGCGCCAAATCTCCTCCTTTTTGGAGGCCACAAAGACGTAAGATACTTCCCTTGCAAATAGCTGGGCTAAATAGATGGGGTAAAAGAAGGTGGCTTTTACAGTATTCATATGCAAAAATTGATGGGGAGTTTTTTTAAACAAGAAATAAAATGGCATGATTACATATGTAGAGGAGAGAAAATTCTACCCTCTTAGGGTTTCTTGGCTGAGCTTGAGAATTAGACTTATAATTTAACAGGAGAAAAGCATATAGATTTATTTAATACCTGAATAAGTTTTATGTGACACAGGAGCCCTCATAAGGAAATGAAGACCCAAAGAAGTGGCAAAACCTAATTGCTTTTGTACTTGATTCAATAAAGAGAGGCAATTGTGGGAAACTAAACTATGTGGAGAGGCTAAAGGAAGATAAGAATTGTTTTTAATAAGGTCTGTTTTTAGAATTCTCTCAGTTTCAACTTTCCATTCTTGATGATAAGAATTTTACTTTCCTTCTGGTACAGGGAGGACATGTTTCATATGGGAGCTTTATCTCCTGCTTTCTAGAAGAAAAAGGGAAGGTCAGAGTGCCCTTATTGCACTTACTTTTTAAAGCGCCTTAGGCCAAAATAATCTTTTTTTTTTTTTTTTTTTTTTTTTTTTGAGATGGAGTTTTCGCTCTTGTTACCCAGGCTGGAGTGCAATGGCGCGATCTCGGCTCACCGCAACCTCCGCCTCCTGGGTTCAGGCAGTTCTCCTGCCTCAGCCTCCTGAGTAGCTGGGATTACAGGCACACGCCACCATGCCCAGCTAATTTTTGTATTTTTAGTAGAGACAGGGTTTCACCATGTTGACCAGGATGGTCTCAATCTCTTGATCTTGTGATCCACCTGCCTCGGCCTCCCAAAGTGCTGGGATTACAGGCTTGAGCCACCGTGCCCGGCCTAGGCCAAAATAATCTTTATGCCAAAGTAGCATATTTTGGCATGGCGTATTCTCCCAGTCTTCAAATATATTTGCTTAATTGCTAAAATCAGAAGTTTGGAGAACCACTGTCACATTCCTCAGAGGGTTCTAAGACATATAGTGTAAGGTTTTTTTTAAAAGGACATATGTACTACTCTGGGTACACTGCCTATGGGTTAGCCCTGTTTGCAAGGAGCAGCCAAATAATTTTTTTTTAAATGACATATGTTTCAGAAATTATAATTAGAGAGTATTTGAGAAACCTATACATCTCACTATGTAAGATACTAATATTTAAAAAGTAGTGCTCGCCTGTCTGAGAGCTTTTATAAAGTTCTCTCTTTATTCATATAACTTCCCAAGAGAAGAATTCTTTACTTTGACTTGCAGATTCTACCTTTACTAAACAGGTGTTCCAGGATCTAAGACTTAGGGCTGGACAAAACTATTACAATCTGTTTGGCTTCCCTTCTTGCCTTGTGGCATGTTAAATTTGGAAAGAGAGGAGACAGTGCTAGAGACGTCTCAGGAAATAAAAAAGAACCATCTTGGCCGGGCGCGGTGGCTCAAGCCTGTAATCCCAGCACTTTGGGAGGCCGAGGCGGGTGGATCACGAGGTCGAGAGATCGAGACCATCCTGGTCAACATGGTGAAACCCCGTCTCTACTAAAAGTGCAAAAAATTAGCTGGGCATGGTGGCACGTGCCTGTAATCCCAGCTACTCAGGAGGCTGAGGCAGGAGAATTGCCTGAGCCCAGGAGGCGGAGGTTGCGGTGAGCCGAGATCGCGCCATTGCACTCCAGCCTGGGTAACAAGGGCGAAACTCCATCTCAAAAAAAAAAAAAAAAAAGAACCATCTTTTTGTGCACATTGTCTATATAACTTCCCACCAACTAGACCTTTGGCCTTCCAATGCACTGATCTTCATGCTCCTCTTGAATTCTCCAGAGGTTTAGCCCAGTTTTAGAAATAACACACTAAAATAGTTGGGGATATTATTCCTGTATACATTTATTCTATGAGTCAGGACTAAGTATACCAATCATTTTTACTCTCAAAGTTAGCCAAGCAGTTGTGTTACTATTATAAACATGTAAAATTTGAAAACAAAAATTATCCTGGTACTTCCGTGTGTGAGGCAATCTCCCATAGAATTTGTATTTTGGAGTAATTTTGTATAAACAGAAAAGTTGGAAAGTTAGTGTGGAGAGTTCCTGTATACTCCTCATCTAGTTTCTTCTGTGATTATATGCCCTAATGCATTTGTCAAAACTGAGAAACCAACATTGGTTTCAAATGTTACTGTTGACTTGGTTGGGAACAGTGGCTCATGCCTGTAAACCTAGCACTTTGGGAGGCTGAGGCTGGCAGATCACCTGAGGTCAGGAGTTCGAGACCAGCCTGGCCAACATTTAAAAGAGATGAAACCCCGTCTCTACTAAAAACAGCAAAAAAAGAAAAAAATTAGCCAGGCGTGGTGGCATGCACCTATAGTCCCAGTTTCTTGGGAGGCTGAGATTCAATAATCACTTGAACCCAGGCAGTGGAGGTTGCAGTGAGCTGAGATTGCACCACCGCACTCTAGGCTGGGTGACAGAGTGAGACTGTCTCAATTTTTTTTTAAAAAAAGAAATACTACTGTTTACTAAATTCCAGACTTACTTTGGCTTTCACCAGTTTTTTCTCTCTAATGTCTCTTTTCTGTTCCAGGATCCAATTACATCTAATCAGGGGTCCATGATTGTTTCTCACTTTATTTTTTTTTTTATTTTTTATTTTTGAGACGGAGTTTCGCTCTTGTTACCCAGGCTGGAGTGCAATGGCACGATCTCAGCTCACCGCAACCTCCGCCACCTGAGTTCAGGCAATTCTCCTGCCTCAGCCTCCTGAGTAGCTGGGATTACAGGCACGCGCCACCATGTCCAGCTAATGTTTTGTATTTTTAGTAGAGACGGGGTTTCACCATGTTGACTGGGATAGTCTTGATCTCTTGACCTCGTGATCCACCCGCCTCGGCCTCCCAAAGTGCTGGGATTACAGGCTTGAGCCACCGCGCCCGGCCTCTCACTTTATTTTTTATGACCTTGATTGTTTCAAAGACTACTGGTCAGATGTTTTGTAGGATGCCTTAGATTTTTAGAAAGCTATTCTCTATAAATGGTCCTCCAATTCTATAAGGGAATTCATTGTATATACACATACTCCCACATATACATAAAAACCCTTAATCTTCGATGTCTTGATAATTTTCTTTTTTCCTTCGTAAAGAAAAACCTCCAAAAATAACATTAAGAATGGTGACTCGAAATCCAAGCCTGTTGCTACAGTGGTTTCCAGAAAGTCAGAATCAAATCATGAAGTAATCCACCCTCAACCACACTCTTCTGAAGGTTCTCAGACATATATAATGGTACGTTTCTTTTTAAGGGGTATGTGTTTTAGAAACTGCACTTAGAAAAATAGGCCATCTAAGTAAATTATTATATGTGAAATGATTATGCTTTACTGAAGATTCTATTGTACAATTAATTCCTTATTGCAAGGAAAGAATACTGGTGATTTAGATTTACCCAAATTGGATAAATCTAAATCACCAGTATTTAGTTTAGGTGATTGATTTAGATTTATCCAAATTGGGCTGTCAAATTGTTCATGAAGTCAGTGCTGTAATAACTAAGAATTTTTTAGGTGAAATTTATGCAACGAAACTAACCTTTTTTTTTTTTTTTTTTTTTTTTGTGAGACAGAGTTTCACTCTTGTTACCCAGGCTGGAGTGCAATGGCGTGATCTTGGCTCACCGCAACCTCCGCCTCCTGGGTTCAGGCAATTCTCCTGCCTCAGCCTCCTGAGTAGCTGGGATTACAGGCATGCGCCACCATGCCCAGCTAATTTTTTGTATTTTTAGTAGAGACGGGGTTTCACCATATTGACCAGGATGGTCTTGATCTCTTGACCTTGTGATCCGCCCGCCTCGGCCTCCCAAAGTGCTGGGATTACAGGCTTGAGCCACTGCGCCCGGTGAAACTAACCATTTTAAAGTGAACAATTAAGGCTGGGCACAGTGGCTTGTGCCTGTAATCCCAACATTTTGGGAGGCTGAGGCTGACAGATTACTTGAGGTCAAGAGTTCCAGACCAGCCTGGCCAACATGGTGAAACCTCGTCTCTACTAAAAATTAAAAAATTAGCTGGTCGTGGTGGCGGGCGCCTGTAATCCCAGCTACTCGGGAGGCTGAGGCAGGAGAATTGCTTGAACCCGGGAGTTGGAAGTTGCAGTGAGCCAAGATCACACCACTGCACTCGAGCCTGGGTGACAGAATGAGACTCTGACTCAAAAATAAGAATAAAATAAAATAAAATAAATAATTAAATAAAGTGATGAATTAACTACAGCCAGTACATTCACAATGTTGTACAACCATCACTTCTATATAGTTCTAAAACATTTTTATTACCTCAGAGGAAATCCCTTCCTCATTTAACAGTCCTTCACCTGGTCCCTGGGAACTACCAGTGTGTTTTCTTTCTCTGTGAAGTTACTTGTCCTGGATATTTCATATAAATAGAATCATTAAATATGTGACCTTTTGTTTCTGGTGTCTTCCACTGTCTTTTCAAGGTTCATTCATGTAGTGTGTATGAATACTTCATTTCTTTTTAGGTCTGGCTACCATTGTAAGAATATACCACAGTTTGTTTATCCATTCATCCATTAGTGGACATTTGTTTTTTTTTCACCTTTTGGCTGTTACCATGAACATTTGTGTGCAAGTAGTTGAGTACCTGTTTTCCATTCTTTTGGATATATACCTAGCCGTGGAATTGCTGAGTCAAATGGTAATTTTGGTTTGATTTTCTGAGAAACTGTTGGCACTGTTTTCTGCAGTGGCTGTACCATTTGACATTCCCATCAGCAGTGCACAAGGGTTCCAGTTTCTCCACAGCTTTGTCAACACTTGTTATTTTCTAAATTTTTGATTCTAGCTATCGTAGTGGGTGTAAAGTGGTATTTCATTATATTTTTGATTTGTATTTCCCTAATGATTAATGACATCTTTTCACATGCTCTTTAACCATTTGTATGTCCTCTTTGGAGAAATATCTGCTAAAGCTTTTGCCTTTTTTTTTTGAGATAGGGTCTTACTCTGTTGCCTAGGCTGCAGTGCAGTGGTGTGATCACGGCTCACTGTAGCCTCCATCTCTTGGGATCAAATGATCCTCTCACCTCAGCCTCCTCAGTAGCTAGGACCATAGCATGCCATCATACCTGGCTAATTTTTTTCTTTATAGAGACAAGGTCTTATTATAGTGCCCAGGCTGATCTCAAACTCCTGGGCTCAGGTGATCCTCCCACCTTGGCTTCCCAATGTGCTGGGATTACAGGCATGAGCCACTGTGCCCAGCCTTTCTTTTTTCTTTTTTTAACAGAGAGGATCTTGCTCTGTCACCCAGGCTGGAGTACAGTGGCATCATCATAGCTCACTGCAACCTCTGAACTCCTAGACGCAAAGGATCTTCCCACCTCAGCCTTCTAGTTAGCTGGGTGTACAGCTGTGCACCACCATGCCTGGCTTATTATTTTTGTAGAGGTGGGTCTCACTATGTTGCCTAGGCTGGTCTTGAACTCCTGGGCTCAAGCAATTCTTCCTTTTCTTCCCAGAGTGCTGAGATTACAAGTACGAACCACATCACCCAGCTCCTACCCAGTTTTAAATGGGTGTTTTTTGTCTTTTTGTTGTTGAGTTGTAAGAGTTCTCAATCCGTGTTCCAGTTACTAGTCCCTTATCAGACAACTTGCAAATATTTTCTCCATTGTCTAAGTTGTCTTTGCTTTCCTTTTATAATTAAAAATAATTTTTTTGTTTTTTTCACTCTTTTGATAATGTCCTTTTCACAAAAGCTTCTAATTTTGATGAAGTCCAATATATCTATTTTTTTCTTTTGTTGTCATAGCTAAGAATTCCTTGCCAAATTCAACATCTTGAATGTTTATGCCATAGTTTCTTCTAAAACATAGTTATAGTTTTCACTCTTATGTTTAGGTTGTGGATCCAGTTTTTAGTTTTAATTTTTTTCATTACGATAAAATACACATAATGTAAAATTTACTATCTTAACCATTTGTAAGTGTACAGTTCAGTGGTGATAAATACGTCTACAATGTTGTGCAGCCATCACCACTCATCTTTATAACTCTTTCATACTGTAAAACTGAAACTGTTCCCATTAAACAATATCTCCCCATTCCTTACTACCCCAGTCCCTGGCAGCAACCATTCTACTTTCTGTATCCATGGTTTTTAAGTACGTCAGATAAGTGGATCATGCAGTATTTGTCTTTCATGACTGCCTTATTTCATTTCACATAATGTCTTCAAGGTTCATTCATGTTGTGATGTATGTCAGAATTTCCTTCCTTTTTAATGCTGAATAATATTCAGTTGTATGTAAATCCCACATTTTGTTATCCAGTTCATCTGCAGATGTACATTTGTGTTGTTTTCACCTTTTGACTACTGTGGATAATGCTGTTATGAATATGGGTCTACATATATCTCTTTGAGACCCTGATTTCTTTCTTTTTTTTTTTTTTTTTGAGATGGAGTGTCGCTCTGTTACCCAGGGTGGAGTGCAGTGGCACCATCTCAGCTCACTGTAACCTCTGCCTCCTGGATTCAAGTGATTCTCCTGCCTTAGCCTCCCATGTAGTTGGGATTACAGGCATTTGTCACCACACCCAGCTAATTTTTGTATTTTTAGTAGAGACGGGGTTTCACCATGTTGAAACCAGGCTGATCTCAAACTCCTGACCTCAGGTGATCCACCCGCCTTGGCCCCCCAAAGTGCTGGGATTACAGGCATGAGCCAAGACCCTGATTTCTATTTTTTTGGGTATATAACCAGAAGGTAATCACGTGGTAATTGTAGTTTTAACTTTTCGAGGACGTGCAGAACTGTTTTCTACAACTTCTGTATCATTTTACATTCTTATCAGCAGTGCATGAAGGTTCCAGTTTCTCTACATTCTCACCAACACTTGTTATTTTCTAGGATCTTTTAATAGTAGCCATCCTAATGGGCATGAGGTGGTATCTCATTGCAGTTTTGATTTGCATTTCCTTAGTGATTAGTTATGTTGAGCATTTTTCATGTGCTTATTGGCTGTTTGCATATCTTTTTGGGAGAAATGGCTATTCAAGTCCTTTGCCCATTTTTGAGTTGGGTCATTCATTTTTTGCTCTTTCTGGAGTTCTCCCATTCAAGATGTCAATCCCTTATCACATATATAATTTGTAAATATTTTTTCTCATTTTATGGGTTGCCTTTTTACTCTGTTGATAGTATCTTTTAATGCACAAAATTTTTAATTTTTATGAAATCCAATTTGTCTTTTTCTTATGTTGCTTTTGCCTTTGGTGTCCTATCCAGAAAATAATTGCCAAATCCAAAGGTGTGACGTCTTTGCCTTATGTCTGCTTCTGAGAGTTTTATAGCTTTAGGTCTTACATTTAGGTTTTTTGTTCATTTTGAGTTAATTTTTTTTATTTTTTATTTTTTTGAGACAGAGTTTCACTCTTGTTGCCCAGGCTGGAGTGCAATGGTGCGACCTCGGCTCACTGCAACCTCCACTTCCTGCTTTCGAGCAATTCTCCTGCCTCAGCCTCCCGAGTAGCTGGGATTACAGGCATGTGCCACCATGCTGGGCTATTTTTTTTGTATTTTTAGTAGAGATGGGGTTTCTCCATATTGGTCAGGCTGTTCTTGAACGCCTGACCTCAGGTGATCCACCTGCCTTGGCCTCCCAAAGTGCTGGGATTACAGGCGTGACCCACCGTGCCTGGCCATTAATTTTTATATATGGTGTTAGGTAGAGGTCTGACTTCATTCTTCTGTATGTGGATTATCTAGTTTTTTCAGCAGTATTTGTTGAAAAAGCTGTCTTTTCCTCATCAAATGATCTTGACACCTTTGTCAAAAATCATTTGACCATATATGTGAAGGTTTATTTCTGGGTTCCCCATTACCTTCCATTGGTTTCTATGTCTAATGTCTGTTTTTATACCAATATTATACTGTTTTGCTTATGTAGTTCTGTAGTATGTTTTAAAATCATGAGACATGAGTCCTACATCTCTATTCTTTTTTTTTCAAGATTGCTTTGACTATTTGGGATCCCTTGAGATTCCATGTGAATTTTAGAATGGATATTTCTGTTCTTGCAAAGAATGTCGTTGGGATTTTTATAGGGATTAAATTGAGTCTATAGATTGCTGTGGGTAGTATTAATATATTAACAACATTAAGCTTTCCTCAAGGAGATGCCTAATTGTAAATAGAAAAAAAGAACAATGTTAAGTCTTCTAACCCATGAATATGGGATGTTTTTCCATTTATGTCTTCTTTAAATTTCTTTAAGCACTATTTTGTAGATTTCACTGTGTAAGTCTTTCTTCCACCTTTTGGTTAATTCCTAATTATTTTACTCTTTTTGATACTATTGTAAATTGATTTGTTCTTATAATTTGCTTCTCAGATTGTCTATTAGTGTATAGAAATGCAACTGATTATTATTTATTGACTTTCCCTCTTGCTACCTTGCTGAATTCATTTATTAGTTCCAACAGTTTTTGTGTGTGGAATCTAGGGTTTTCTACATGCAAGATCATATCTGCAAAAGGAGATAATCTTACTTCTTCTTTTCTAGTTTTGATGCCTTTTTTTTTTCCTTGCTCAATTGCTCTGGCTAGAACTTCTAGTACTATATTGACTAGAAGAGGTGAAAGCAGGCATTCTTGCCTTGTTCCTGATCCAGAAAGGGTTCATAATTTGTACTCCAAAGAAATTCAGTAGTCTGTCATCAGACTCTTCTGTTCTCAGCATTCAATTTACTAGCCTTCCGGTCATTGTGCCTTACCTCTGTGCCTTCAAGGTAGAGTTCCCAGCTGCCCATTGCCTTTGCGGCCTAGCAGCGTCTCTGGCCACAGTGCCAGTCCTGCCTCTGCTTGCTTCCTGCCCTGGCTTATTTCTTTTCTTTTCTGAGACAGGATCTCATTGTGTCAACCAGGGGGAGTGCAGTGGTGCAATCACGGCTCACTGCAGCTTTGACCTCCTGGCTCAAGCAATCCTTCCACCTCAGGCTTCCAAGTAGCTGGGACTACAGGCACTTGCTACCATGCCTAGCTAATATATATATATATATTTTTTTGAGACGGAGTTTCGCTCTTGTTACCCAGGCTGGAGTGCAATGGCGTGATCTCAGCTCACCGCAACCTCCGCCTCCTGGGTTCAGGCAATTCTCCTGCCTCAGCCTCCTGAGTAGCTGGGTCTACAGGCATGCTCCACCATGTCGAGCTAATGTTTTTTATTTTTAGTAGAGACGTGGTTTCACCATGTTGACCAGGATGCTCTCGATCTCTTGACCTCGTGATCTACCCGCCTCAGCCTCCCAAAGTGCTGGGATTACAGGCTTGAGCCACCGTGCCCGGCTAATTTTTTATTTTTTAATTTTTTTTAATAGAAATGTGGTTTTGCCATATTGCCTAGACTTGTCTCAAGCTCCAGAACTCAAGCGATCCTCTTGCCTCTGCCTACCAAAGTTCTGGGATGACAAGTATGAGCCACTGCACTCAGCCTGGCTTATTTTACTTAGCATGTTTTCAGGGTTCATTCATGTTTTAGCATGTATCAGAACTTAATTCCTTTTTATGGATTAGTAATATTCCATTGTATGTATTTGCCATATATATATATATATATTTTGAAATAAGATTTCACTCCTGTCACCCAGGCTGGAATGCAGTGGTGGTCTCTCGGCTCACTATACCCTCTACCTCCCAGGCTTAAGCAATCCTCCTGCATCAGCCTCCCGAATAACTGGGACTACAGATGTGCACCACCATGCCCAGCTAATTTTTCTATTTTTAGTAGAGATGGGGTTTCACTATATTGCCCAGGCTGGTCTCAAGCTGCTGGGTCTCTAGCTCCTGGGTCTCCAGCTCCTGTCCTCAAGTGATTCACTTGCCTCGGCCTCCCAAAGTGCCGGAATTATAGGTGTGAGCCACCATGCCCAGCAGTATTTGCTACATTTTGTTCATCCCTTCATCTGCTGATGGACTTTCGGGTTGTTTCCACCTTTTGGCTATTTTGAATAAAGCTGCTGTAGACATTGGTGTACAATTTCTTGAGTCCCTGCTTTCAGTTCCTTGGAGTTCATACTTAGGAGTGGAATTGCTGAGTCATATGGTAGTAATTCCATGTTTAACTTTTTGAAGAAGGTGTTGTTGCATTTTGAGTTGATTTTTGTATGTGACGTGAGCTGTACTGTAATAATTTCCAAACATGTTTTCATTCAGGTTGAAGGCAAATGTTTGTCTGAGGAGAAACCCAGGGTCTCTGGTCCCTTGAAGTCACCTGCCAGCCTGAAAGCCCATACCTGCAAACAGGACTTGAGCAATACCACAGAACTAGCCACAATCAGTAGGGTAAATATTGACATCTTACCTGCAAAAGGGAAGGACTCATTGAGCGATGGCTTTGTTCAGGAGAATCAGCCAACACACTTGGATGCCTCTAATGAGTTAGGAGGTAAATGCAATATTTCTCAAGTGGAAAAGGAGATGCTACAGGACAACACTAAATCCAGTGCTCAGCCTGAAAACCTGATTCCCATGTGGTCCTCTGACAGTCACTGGGGAAAAGAATGAACCATTGAAGCCTCTGCAGCCCCTAATCAAAGAACAAAAGCCAAAAGACCAGGTGAGTAATATGCACACGTGAGGTATTGGTTTCAGAGAGAGGACTGAAAGTGCAGATGTAAATGTGTGGGTTCTGTTGTCATTTTAGGAAAGTCAGTTATTCTGTGTATTAGTTTAAACATAGAAAAATATCTGCATCAACCCAAGAAGAAACCTAGTACCCTGTAATAGTCACTCACCATTTCCCCTTACCCACAACTCCTAGGCAACATTTGTCCCTATGGGTTTGCCTATTCTAAGCATTTCATATAAATGGAATCATAGAATGTATGGCTTTGTGTGTTCGGCTTCTTTTACTTAACGTGATACTTTCAAGGTTTATCTATGATGTAGCAACATTTTATTCCTGTTCATTTATTTTATATAAAATGTACCAACATTTTACTCATTTTGTAAAAAAATTTAATTTTTAGGCCTGGTGCAGTAGCTCACGCCTGTAATCCCAGCACTTTGGAAGGCTGAGGCGGACAGATCACCTGAGGTCGCAAGTTCAAGACCAGCCGGACCAACATGGAGAAATGCCGTCTCTACTAAAAATTCAAAAATTAGCTGAGCGTGGTGGCACATGCCTGTAATCCTAGCTCCTCGGGAGGCTGAGGCAGGAGAATCTCTTGAACCTGGGAGACGGAGGTTGTGGTGAGCCGAGATCGTGCCATCTCACTCCAGCCTGGGCAATAAGAGCAAAACTCTGTCTCAAAAAAAAAAATAGTAATAATTTTTAAAGTTATTTTAGATGGGGTCTCACTCTGCTGCTCAGGCTAGAGTGCAGTGATCAAACACAGCTCACTGCAGCCTTGACCTCCTGGGCTTAAGTGATCCTCCTGCCTGTAGCTGGGACCACAAACATGCCCAGCTAATTTTTTTATTTCTATTTCTTGTGGAGAGATAGGGTCTTGCCATGGTCATGTTGCCCAGGCTGGTTTCTCAACTCCTGTGCTCAAGCAGTCCTCCCAACTTGGCCTCCCAACGTGCTGGAATTATAGGCATGAGCCACTGCACTCTGCCTTATTCCTTATTGCCAAATAATATACTGTATTTGTATATGTCTGTGTGTGTGTGTGTGTTTGAGACAGAGTCTTCACTCTGTCACCCAGGCTGGAGTACAGTGGTGCAATCTCAGCTCACTGTAAACTCTGCCTCCTGGGTTCAAGTCATTCTCGTGCCTCAGCCTCCTGAGTAGCTGAGATAGCAGGTGTGCACCACCATGCCCAGCTAATTTTAGTATTTTTAGTAGAGATGGGGTTTCACCATGTTGGCCAGGCTGGCCTCAAACTCCTGATCTCAAGTGATTCGCCCGCTTCAGCCTCCCAAAGTGCTGGGATTACAGTTGTGAACCAGCATGCCCAGCCTGTATATATTTTGTTCATTCATTCATCAGTTGATGAACATTTGGGTTGTTTCTACTTTTTAGCTACTTTTGTTTTCTGAGAGGAAGGTTATATGTGGATAATGCTGCTATGAACACCTGTGTACAGTTTTTGTGTGGACATATGTTTTCAGTTCTGTTGAGTATGTGCCTAGGAGTAGAATTGCTGGGTCATACGGTAACTCTATGTATTAAACTTTTTAAGGAACTACAAAATTGTTTTCCAAAGCAGCTATATAATTTTACTTCTGCCAGCAATATATGAGGGTTCCAGTTTATCCGCATCCACTGCCAACACTTGTTCACTGTTTATTGTTTTGAACATAATCATCCTTGTAGGTGTGAAGCGGTCATGATTTGCATCTCCCTAATGACCAATGATGTTGAGCATCTTTTTTTTTTTTTTTTTTTTTTAAAGACAGAGTCCTGCCCTGTCACCCAAGCTGGAGTGCAGTAGCATGATCTTGATTCACTGCAACCTCTGCTTCCTGAGTTCATGTGATTCTCCTGCCTCAGCCTCCTGAGTAGCTAGGATTACAAGTGTGTGCCACCAGGACCAGCTAATTTTTATAGTTTTTTAAAGTAGAGATGGGGTTTAACCGTGTTGGCCAGGCTGGAAACTTCTTACCGCAAGTGATAAGCCTGCCTCTGCCTCCTAAAGTACTGGAATTACAGGTGTGAACCACTGTGCCTAGCCTTGAACATCTTTTTATTACTTTTTGGCCATTGGTATACTTCCTTTGGAGAAATAATCTATTCTAATCCTTTGCCAATTTTAAAATTGGTTTATTTATCATTTTATTGTTGAATTCTAAGAGTTCTTTATTCTAGATACCAGTTCCTTATTAGTTACAGCATTTGAAAATATTATCTCCTGGCCAGGAGCTCACACCTATAATCCCAGCACTTTGGGAGGCTGAGGAGAGCAGATCACTTGAGGGTCAGGAGTTCAAGACCAGCCTGGCCAACATAGTGAAACCCTGTTTCTACTAAAAATACAAAACTTAGCCAGGTATGGTGGCACACACCTGTAATTCCAGCTACTCATGAGGCCGAGGCAGGAGAATCACTTGAACCAGAGGTGGAGGTTTCTGAGGCACGATCTCTGCTCACTGCAGCCTCCGAATCCTAGGTTTGAGGAATTCTTCTGCCTCAGCCTCCCAGGTAACTCAGACTACAGGTGTGCACCACCATACTCAGCTAATTTTTGAATTTTTAGTAAAGGTGGGGTTTCACCATATAGTCCAGGCTGATCTCGAACTCCTGACCTCATGATCCACCTGCACTCAGTGCTCTTTTTACTGTGCTTTTTAGGGTGTGTCCAAATAATTGATATTTACCTTGGAAATAAATTTGTATTAAATTGGAATTCATTAAAATATTCGTTCATTTTCAAAATGGAAAACCTATGAAAAGTTATAAAGATATATATTTTTTAAATAACTGGATCAAACATCCATAGTTTCAGATTAGCCACAATTTAAGTGATTTAATTAAAACAATTATCGGCTGGGCACTGTGGCTCAGGCCTGTAATCCCAGAGGCTGAGGTGGGCAGATCACGAGGTCAAGAGATCGAGACTATCCTGGCCACCATAGTGAAACCCCGTCTGTATTAAAAATACAAAATTTAGCCGGGCGTGGTGGCATGCACCTGTGGTCCCAACTACTCGGGAGGCTGAGACGGAAGAATCTCTTGAACCCTGGAGGTAGAGGTTGCAGTGAGCTGAGAGTGTGCCACTGCACTCCAGCCTGGTGACAGAGCAAGACTCCGTCTAAACAAACAAACAAACAACAACAACAAAAAATTATTTTTATTTGAAGGAAGAGAAAAAAGAGCATTGGGATAACTGATGTTGACATTTTGTCTTTACCTGTCCACACTGCAAATAAACATTCATTTTACGAAAGATAACTCCTCATTTTCTTTTTAATTAATTAATTTTTTTCTTTTTAATTTATTAAAAAAATTTATTTTGAAACACTTTTGCTGTGTCACCCATGCTAGAGTACAGTGGCATGAACACAGCTCATGGTAGCCTCGACCTCTTGGGCTCATACGATCCTCTCACCTCAGCCTCCTGTGTAGCTGTGACTATCTGGCATATCGCCACATCTGACTTTTTTTTTTTTTTTTTTTTTTAATGAAGATGGAGGTCTCACTATGTGGCTCAGGCTGGTCTTGAACTCCTGGCCTCAAGTGGTCCTCCTGACTTGGCCTCCCAGAGCGTTGGAATTACAGGTGTGAGCTACCATACTCAGCTTCTTCTCATTTTCATTTACAATTTTAAAAGTAGGCATGGAGAGTTTGGCCATTTGGATGTTCAAAAGACTTTTCATTATTTTGTGTTTTTGTATGTGTTTGCTTCATTTTATTATTTTTTTTAAATTGTTGCATTATGATTTAATCTCATCGCGCAAAAATTTGAAATTGCAACTGATTTTGTTTTCTAAGAGGAAGTTTATATATGCCTCTATATTTAATTCTGCACTGTTAAATTTGAACCATATTGTGAACTTTACATCATGATGGGTCATTTTAGAACTTCCATGTAATACTTTAAATTGCAATATGGGAACAATTTTTATTTTTATTTTTACTTTATTTATTTATTTATTTATTTATTTTGAGACGGAGTTTCGCTCTTGTTACCCAGGCTGGAGTGCAATGGCGCGATCTCGGCTCACCGCAACCTCCGCCTCCTGGGCTCAGGCAATTCTCCTGTCTCAGCCTCCTAAGTCTCTGGGATTACAGGCATGCGCCACCACGCCCAGCTAGTTTTTTGTATTTTTAGTGGAGACGGGGTTTCACCATGTTGACCAGGATGGTCTCGATCTCTTGACCTCGTGATCCACCCGCCTCGGCCTCCCAAAGTGCTGGGATTACAGGCTTGAGCCACCGCGCCCGGCCGGGAACAATTTTTAAACCTGTGGAAGGTCTTCATGCTAAAGACAAAAGCCACTTTTTTTTTTTTTTTTTTTTTGAGATGGAGTTTCACTCTTGTTGCTGAGGCTGAAGTGCAATAGTGCAATCTCAGCTCACTGCAACCTTCGCCTCCTGAGTTCAAGCAGTTCTCCTGCCTCAGCCTCCCGAGTAGCTGGGATTACAGGCACGTGCTGCCATGCCCAGCTTATTTTGTTTGTTTGTTTGTTTGTTTGTTTGTTTTGAGACGGAGTTTCGCTCTTGTTACCCAGGCTGGAGTGCAATGGCGCGATCTCAGCTCACCACAACCTCCGCCTCCTGGGTTCAGGCAATTCTCCTGCCTCAGCTTCCTGAGTAGCTGGGATTACAGGCATGTGCCACCATGCCCAGCTAATGTTTTTGTATTTTTAGTAGAGACAGGGTTTCACCATATTGACCAGGATGGTCTCGATCTCTTGACCTCGTTATCCAACCCGTCTCGGCCTCCCAAAGTGCTGGGATTACAGGCTTGAGCCACCGCGCCCGGCCTTATTTTGTATTTTTAATAGAGTCAGGGTTTCTCCCTGTTCGTCAGGCTGGTCTTCAACTCCCAACCTCAGGTGATCTGCCCCCCACTTGGCCTCCCAAAGTGAAAGGATTACAGTTGTGAGCCACCGTGCCCGGCCGAAAGCCACTTTATATGGGCACCTTACATTGGATTATAATGTACCAGGTTGCTGCTATACTTTAAAATGTCATTTTGTTATTTTTAAGGATCAAGTTGCTGGTGAATGTATTATAGAAAAACAGGGCAGAATCCACCCAGATTTACAGCCACACAACTCTGGATCTGAACCTTCCCTGTCTCGACAGCAACGGCAGAAGAAGAGAGAACAGACTGAGCACAGAGGGGAAAACAGACAGGTTGGCAGAGATCTCTTTGCTGTATGTCATTTTGCTTTTGTTTGGGAGGTAGACTTCAGGAAGCTCAATTTCTATTTAGAGCAGGTAACAATTGCCAAAAAGGCATGTAGGAAATGCAAGGAACATATAGAGAAGGGTGACAGTGGCAATATGCTAAATGCTAGTTTTCAAATATTAGTGAGTTGGAAGCAGAGTAAGTATTTTATCTTCTCTAGCAAAGATGGACAGATAATTTTGAAAGTTAAAGGAACAGGCTAATGAGAGTAAACCTTTGACTCCATCTATATTATAGTGATGAACAGTTCTTTCTTCAGCTTCTCCACAGAATCATGTTGACATATCATTTTTTGAAGTAACTTCCACAGGTATCCTCTCCATAAGCTTTTTAGATGATTTACTTTTGGCAGAGTCTTTCCAAAAAATGCAATGTTTTGAAGTTTTTAAGAGCAAACCATTGACAAATACATAGAGAACCTGCTGATAGGGGAACATTGGAAGGGGCTATATATGAAACCTTTAATCTTCTTTTTTAATTATTTAAGTTCCAAGAGTCACCTCGAATTTTGCCCTCTCATCCCATTGTTGGAAAAGTGAATATCACATCAACACAAAAAGATGCTGAAAACCAATGTAGAGTGGTCACTGGGTCTGTGAGCAGTTCAAGGAGCAGTGGGATGTTATCATCAAAGGTTTGTGGGACTATATGTTGGATTTTTAAAAACGTATAGCCGGCTGGGTGTGGTGGCTCATGCCTGTAATCCCAGCACATTGGGAGGCCAACGTGGGTGGATCATGAGGTCAAGAGCTCCATACCATCCTGGCCAACATGGTGAAACCCCATCTCTTCTAAAAATAATACAAAAACTAACAGGGCTTGGTGGCATGCACCCGTCATCCCAGCTACTCAGGAGGCTCAGGCAGGAGAATCACTTCAACCCAGGAGGTGGAGGTTGCAGTGAGCTGAGATCAAGCCACTGCACTCCAGCCTGGTGACAGAGTGAGACTATGTCTCATACACACAAAAAAAACTTATAGCACTTTGGGAGGCTGAAGCAAGAGGATCAGTTGAGCCCAGGAGTACAAGACTTGCATGGGCAATATATAGTGAGACCTTGTCTCTACAAAAAATTTAAAAATTAGCCAAATGTGGTGGCACATGCCTGTAGTCCCACTACTCATGAAACGGAGGTGGGAGGATGGCTTGAACCCAACAGGGGAAGGTTGAGGCAAGCCGAGATCAACCTGGGTGATAGAGTGAGAACCCGTCTCAAAAACAAAAACCCCTAAAACCTTCTTATAAAGCTTTTTGGTTATAAAATCCTGTGTATATTGTGAAGTTTTGTGTTAAAACACCTTACCTTTGCTGCTTGCCAAACACTGGAAGGGACAGATGGGACAGGTGTGATCTCAGCAGAATTTTATTTTATTTTTTCAATTTTTTTGAGATGGAGTCTCGCTCTTTTGCCCAGGCTGGAGTGCGGTGGCATGATCTTGGCTCACTGCAATCTCCACCTCCTGGGTTCAAGCAATTCTCCTGCCTCAGCCTCCCGAGTAGCTGAAACTATAGGTGCCAGCCACCACGCTTGGCTAATTTTTGTATTTTTAGTAGAGACAGGGTTTTGCCATGTTGGCCAGGCTTGTCTCAAACTCATGACCTCAGGTGATCCACCTGCCTCGGCCTCCCAAAGTGCTAGGATTACAGGTGTGAGCCACCACGCCCATACTCAGCAGAATCGTTGATTGAAATGGACAGATTCTGTGGTTTCAGAGATAGTCGCTTCTAGTGAATTAAGGAAACCAAGTAGATTCTGAATATGGTAAATGTGAAAGTCCTTATTTGCCCTTCCAAAAATGAGTACCTCCCAGAAACGAAGGCTGTGATCATTTCTCGCTAGTAGCTATAACCCTGCTGCGGGTTGATTTCCAATGGACACTCCTCCAGGTCCAGTGCAAGACTTTTTTTTTTTTTTTTTTTTTTTTTGGTCTTGCTGTGTCACCCAGGCTGGAATAAAACCTTTTCCTATTTTTTTTTTTTTTTTGAGACAGAGTCTTGTTCTGTCACCTGGCTAGAGTGCAGTGGCACTCTCTCAGCTTTTTGCAATCTCTGCCTCCCTAGTTCAAGCGATTCCCCTGCCTCAGCCTCCTGAGTAGCTGGGATTATAGGTGCACACCAGCACGCCTGGCTAATTTTTTGTATTTTAGTAGAGATGGGGTTTCACCATGTTGGCCAGGATGGTCTTGATCTCCTGACCTCATGATCCCCCCCATCTCAGCCTCCCAAAGTGCTGGGATTACAGGCATGAGCCACCGTGCCTGGCCATTTTTTTTTTTTTTTTTTGAGACAGAACCTTGCTGTGTCACCCAGACTAGAGTGCAATGGCGTGATCTTGGCTCACTGCAACCTCTGCCTCCCAGATTCAAGCAGTTCTGCCTCAGCCTCCCGAGTAACTGGGATTACAGGTGTGCGCCACCATGCTCAGCTAATTTTTGTATTTTTAGTAGAGACAGGATTTCACCATGTTGGCCAGGCTGGCCTCAAACTCCTGACCTCATGATCTGCCTGCCTTGGCCTCCCAGAGTGCTGGGATTACAGGCATGAGCCACTGCGCCCGGCCAAGACCTTTTTCTTAATGTTGGATGATATATCATGCATTGTAGGTGTTACAAGAATAGCAAGTAGGAGTGGAAGTGACTCTGTGACTTTCTTTTAAAGGATCGACCATTATCAGCCAGAGAGAGGAGGCGACTAAAGCAGTCACAGGAAGAAATGTTCTCTTCAGGTAAAGTTGACTTCTTTCTTCATCTAATTGGCAGTTGAGGGTATGGCTCGTGGACAGAAGCACTGGTTTTGACTCTGAGAGGTAGAAACTTTCCAGCAGCAGTAATCCATGTAGGAAATCGATTTAGAAGAGATTATGAAATTTCTTAGTCAAGCCTTTTAAGAAATCATTATAGGCTGTCGAATCTGGAACAAATATCAGAGGAGGAAGATATTTTAAAAAGAGCGAGAGGGCTTTCAGTGGCAGTAACTCCTGGGAGATTTCAGACCAGAAATCAAGTGAATGATTTCTGGTCAGAGAATTGCTTTCATCTCAGGAACAGAGGGAGGTTACTGGGGGAGTGGCACTGTCCTAGGCTGAGGGCTATGCTCATTTCTTCTATTATTTTTTAAAGATAGTATTAGCAGTTTCCGTTTATTGAATGCTGACCATGTCTCAGGCATTATGGTAAACATCTTAAGGGCATTATCACATTTCATATTTACAATAACTACAAAAATATGCAGCATTATCCCCATTTTGCAGCTGAGGAAACAGAGGCTCTGAGGAGTTAAGCAGCTTGCCCAAGGTCACAGAGCTGGTGGACCCAGAGCTAAGATTTCAACTGAGATATCAGGCACCAGAGTAAAGATAAATATGCTATTTGAGTTACTTCTGGGCCAGCTCTTGCTGGGATATGTGCCATACCCAGTACAAAGCCCTCTTCAATTGGGGTAGCCCACCACAAACAATTACTGGGGATGTTTGCTTTTTCAGGCCCTTCAGTGAGGAAAGCTTCTCTGAGTAGCAGCAGTGCCAGGGAAACCCCAGGAGGAAGACCAGCCCGTGCCTGCCCGACGGCTCTGTTCTGACTGCAGTGTCACTCAGGTGCATTATGTACTCCCAGAAGAGAAGGTGGACAGTCTACATCTGGCAGGCCTAATGCAGTAAACCTTATAAATGTCAGCTTCATTTATTTTTGGGGCAGGGCCAGCTTGTTACATCTTTTCACTCTTGATAAAGAAAGGAACTGGTAAATAATAATCAAAAGGATTATGTTTGACCCATTAAGGGAATACGTTTTCCAGGTACTCATAAACAACTGACAGCCTAATTAAAAATATTTCTTAGGTAGGTAGGTCTTTAAAACAGGACTTCCTGGCCTCATGCAGCGGCTCACGCTTGTAATACTAGCACTTTGGGAGGTCAAGGTGAGAAGATTGCTTTAGCCCAGGAGTTTGAGATCAACCTGGGCAGTATAGTTTGGACCCTGTCTCTAAGAAAGAAAATTACCTGGAAAGGTGGTGCACACCTGTAGTTCCAGCCACTCAAGAGGCCAAAGTGGGAGTATCGCTTGAGCCCAAGAGGTCGAGGCTACAGTGAGTTGTGTTCACACCACTGCACTTTAGCCTGGGTGACAGAGCAAGACTGCTGTCTCAAAAATATAAATAAATAAATGACAGAACAAGACCCTGTCTCAAAAATATAAATAAATAAACAAACAAATAAATCAGAACTTTCTAAGGGCTTGCACTAGGCAACAGTTTCGCTCATTCTGCTGTGATACCAATATACCCACCTGAGTCGCCAGATCTGAGTCTCACTTGCTACTCATTCCTCAGTTTCTTGTGTCAGTGTAGTTTACCTTCTTGCCAGTAGATGATGTAGAGCCACCATCTGGTGGCTAAATGGGTAATTGCTGGGTTTCTAATCCATGTTCACCTCTCTGTATAATACTCTGGAAAGTCTTCTTGCTCTTTGAAAGTAATGGATGTATTATTTCTTTAACCGTATCATTTAGTTTGTTCACTAATAGAGGCTACCCTCCATATCCCAGAGTTGCAAGGTTTATGTGTGTTATTAGGTAATCCTTTAAAGCACTTTAACAGTCTCACATTAAGAGCAAGCTGAAGCTGGTCATGGTGGCTTCTGCCTGTTGTCTCAGCTACTTGGGAGGCCAAGGAAGGGGGATTATTTGAGCCCAGGAGTTTGTGACCAGCCTGGGAAACATAGTGAGACCACTGTATCTAAAAAAAAAAAAAAACAAAAACAAAAGCAAGCTGAAGTTGCCTAGGTAACTTAAAATGCCAACATTCCTATGGAACAAGCCCTCTGCTTAGAAGTTGATACACCAGAACTAGCCATCCATTCCCCTCTGGAAATTTCTTCACAGCTGAGACTCTCAAAGACCCTTGTAAAACTTCACATTGATGTTCTTCAGTCTTTCTTATGAACTTTATGGGTGAACTGGGATATCATATGGGTAAAATCCCTTCGATTTTTTTTTTTCTTTTTGCCACTAAACATGTGGGAACAATTTTTGTATTTGTTAGTTTCTCCTGTTACATTGCACCTAGGAATGTATTGTGTCTAGTTGTTGCATCTAAGACTTTTCAACTATCACATTCTGGTAGTGTTGTCATGTAGAATTTTATTTCTTCCAAACATTAATAGGAAAGGAAACTGATTCATTGTCTCTCTGAAGATGAGTTAAGTTCTTCTACAAGTTCAACTGATAAGTCAGATGGGGATTCCAAGGAAGGGTAAGTTCTTATTTTTCTGTCTCCCTTTATAAACTATTTCTGTTTTAATGAATACTAAATGTACATTTCTGTTTTAATGAATACTAAAAGTATTCAAATCTCTAGTATTCCCACTGATAAATTTATAAATAGTTTGTGGCACATGCTGGAGCTAAAAATGTCTCTCATTTTTTTTTTTGAGATGGGAGTTTCTCTCTTGTTGTCCAGGCGGCAGTGCAGTGGCGTGATCTTGGCTCATTGCAATCTCTGCCTCCTGGGTTCAAGAGATTCTCCTGCCAGCTGGGCGTAGTGGCTCACACCTGTAATCCCAGCACTTTGGGAGGCTGAGGTAGGCAGATCACGAGGTCAGGAGACTGAGACCATCCCAGCCAACATGACGAAAACCCGTCTCTATTAAAATACAAAACATTGGCTGGGCATGGTGTCGCGTGCCTGTAGGTTCTAGCTACTTGGGAGGCTGAAGCAGGGGAATTGCTTGAACCCGGGCAGCGGAGGTTACATTGAGCTGAGATCATGCCACTGCACTCCAGCTTGGCAACAGAGCAAGACTCCTGTCTCAAAAAAAAAAAAAAAAAGATAGATTCTCCTGCCTCAACCTTTCAAATAGCTGGGATTATAGGCATGCACCACCATGCCCAGCTAATTTTGTATTTTTAGTAGACATGGGGTTTTTCCATGTTGGTCAGGCTAGTCTCAAACTCCTGGCCTCAGGTGATCTGCCCACCTCGGCTTCCCAAAGTGCTGAGATTACAGGTATGACCTACCACTCCAGGCCAAAAAGGTAAAAAAAATGTCATTTCTATGCACACATCTGATTTTCTTTTTTCTTTTTTTTTTTTTTTAAGACCGACTCTCACCCTGTCACCTACACTGTAGTACAGAGGCGGAATCTTGGCTCACTGCAACCTCCTCCTCCTGGGTTCAAGCGATTCTCCTGCCTCAGCCTGCCAAGTAGCTGGGACTACAGGTGCATACCACCACACCTGGCTAATTTTTTGTATTTTTAGTGGAGATAGGGTTTCACCATGTTAGCCAGAATAGTCTTGATCTCCTGACCTCATGATCTGCCTGCCTCAGCCTCCCAAAGTGCTGAGATTACAGGCATGAGCCACTTTGCCCGGCTGCACATCTGATTTTGATTTAGAAATCTTCAAGAATGTCTTCGTAGACCTATAGATATATAGTTTTCATCAGATTTAGAAAAAGTTTGGCTGGCCTGGTATGGTGACTGACACCTTAATTCCAGGACTTTGGGAGGCCATGGCAGGTGGATCACTTGAGGCCAGGAATTTGAGACCAGCCTGGCCAACATGGTGAAACCCTGTCTCTACTAAAAATTCAAAAAAGTTAGCTGTACGTGGTGGCACATTCTTGTAATCCCAGCTACTCAGAAGGCTGAGGCCAGAGGATCACTTGAACCCAGGAGGCGGAGGTTGCAGTGAGCCAAGATCGCGCCACTACACTCCAGCCTCCTCCACGACAGAGCGAAACTGTGTCTCAAAAGAATAAAAAAAAAAAAAGAAAAGAAAGAAGAAAACCTTTGGCTATTATTTCTTCACTCTTTTTTTTAGACTTCTTCCTGCCCTCTTAAGGATTCCAGTTACATGTGTATTAGACTCCTTAAATTTGTGCCACAGCTCACTGATGCTCTGTTTAATTTTACTTTTTTTAAAAAATTAAATTAATTTATTATTTGAGATGGAGTCTCACTCTGTCGCCCAGGCTGGAGTGCAGTGGCATGATCTTGGTTTACTGCATGCTCTGCCTCCCGGGTTCAAGCAATTCTCCTGTCTTAGTCCCTCTGAGTAGCTGGGATTACGGCACATGCCACCACTCCTGGCTACTTTTTTGTATTTTTAGTAGAGACCGGGTTTCACCACGTTGGCCAGGCTGGTGTCAAACTCCTGACCTCAGGTAATCTGCCCACCTTGGCCTCCCAAAGTGCTGGGATTACAGGCACGAGCCACTGCACCCGACCTATTTTTACTTTTTTTTCTGTTTCATATTTCATAGATTCTATTGCTATGTCTTTGGGTTCATTAATCTTTTCTTCTGCAGTGTCTAATCTATTAATCCTATCCCATTATTTACTATATTGTATCTTTCATCTCTAGAAATTTGATTTGGGACTTTTTCTTATATCTTTGTGTGTTTCCTTAACATGATCATGTTTTCTTCTACCTTGGCCATATGGAATATATTTATAGTACCCATTTTCTTGTCCTCATTTACTAATTCTATCAGTTGTGTCACTTTTGGATATGTTTCTATTAACTGATTTTTTCTTCATGAATGTATGGTATTTTCCTGCTTCTTTGCACATCTGGTTATTTTTGATGAGATGCTAAATACTGAATTTTACCTCATTGGAAGCTGGCATTTTGTGTTTCTTTAAATATTCTTGAGCTTTATACTTGAGTATAGCTAAGTTACTTGGAAATGGTTGGGCAGAATTTGTACACAAAAGCTGAGGCTGTTTCTTTCAGACCTTCTCCAAGATTCCTCTCTCACTTTCTAGTGACAGTGATTGTTCTGAACTCTGTCCTTTCTATAGAAAGATTGTGAGTTTTCTTGCACTTTGATCTGTTTATGGCATATACTTAGGCTAAAAGATGTTGCCTCTTCTCCAAGATCTGCCTGCAGGTTTTGTTTATTCTGCATTGCTTTTAGTTTTTTGAGTTTTCTGTTTTGTCCAGAGTTTGTAGTTGTTATTTGTGGAAGGGTCAGTCTGTAGGAGCTTACTTGGATATTTGAAAGCAAAACTCCTTTAGGTCGCTTTGCATGTAATTTTTTAATGAAAAATTATGATGAAGCCAATTAAATAACAAGGGGATATTTTTCCCCCAGGAAAGATCAGACAAATGAAATTAATGCCTTGGTACAATTGATGACTCAGACCCTGAAACTGGGTTCTAAAGAGAACTGTGAAGATCTCCTAGTAGCAAATCCAGTGTCAGAATTCAGACTTCATCGGAAGTTTCGGGACACACTGATGCTTCATGGGAAAGTTGCAGAAGAGGCAGAGGAACTCCATTTTAAAGAGCTACCTTCAGGTGATCAGTGTATTCTTTTTTCTTTTTTTTTCTTTTTTTTTTTTTTGAGATGGAGGCTCACTTTGTCACCTAGGCTGGAGTGTAATAGCGTTATCTTGGCTCACTGTAACCTCTGCCTCCCAGGTTCAAGCAATTCTCCTGCTTTAGCCTCCTGAGTAGCTGGGACTACAGGCATGCATCACCACTCTCGGCTAATTTTTGTATTTTTCGTAGAGGCAGGGTTTCACCATGTGGGCCAGGCTGGTCTCAAATTCCTGACCTCAGGTGATCCTCCCACCTCAGCCTCCCAAAGTGCTGGGATTACAGGTGTGAGCCACCATGCCTAGCCCAGTTTATTCTATAGCAAACTGGAGAGCATGTGTTTATTGGAGAAATGTGTCAAAACAAAGAACTGATGCCCATAAATTTTTTTGTGTTTTTAAAATTATTTGCCTATCTCCATAAAAGGTATATCCTGTGTTATGCAACAGAGAGATTCCTGAAAAGTTGCATGAAAATTGATTTTTAAACGTAAATATAAATAGATAAATGTTTGTGGTTTTTCATGTGACTTTTCTTCAAGTTAGACAGTTGTGGTATTTTTAGGTTTAAGAGATGGTAGTGAACCTTAAGCTCATATGTAAATTTTAAGTGATTAATAACTCTTGTCATAGGGGAAAATGATTGTCAGTATAACAAGACTTTTTTTGAAAACAGGCCTGCCGGGTGCAGTGACTCATGCCTGTACTTTGGCGGGCAGAGGAGGGCAGATTGCTTGAGCCCTGGAGTTTGAGACCTGGGCAACATGATGAAAATTTGTGTTTACAAAAATTAGCCAGGCATAAGTGGCTCATGCCTGTAGTCCAGCTACTCAGGAGGCTGAGTTGGGAGGATTCATAGAGCCCAGGAGGTCGAAGCTGCAGTGAGCCATGAGCTCACCACTGCACTCCAGCCTGAGCGACAGAGTAACACCCTGCCTCAAAAAATCAAATGAAATGAAATAAGAATAAAATAATAAAATACAAAAATGAAAAGGCCTGATGTGGTATAATTATGCCTGTAATCTCAATGCTTTTGGAGGCTGAGGTGGGAGGATTGCTTGAGGCAAGGAGTTGAAGACCAGCCTGGACAGCATAGACCCCATCACTACAAAACATTTAAGAATTAATTCGGGCTGGGCACGGTGGCTCAAGCCTGTAATCCCAGCACTTTGGGAGGCCGAGGCGGTTGGATCATGAGGTCAAGATATTGAGACCATCCTGGTCAACATGGTGAAACTCCATCTCTACTAAAAATACAAAACATTAGCTGGGCATGGTGGCGCATGCCTGTAATCCCAGCTACTCAGGAGGCTGAGGCAGGAGAAATGCCTGAACCCAGGAGGCAGAGATTGTAGTGAGCCGAGATTGCGCCATTGCACTCCAGTCTGGGTAACAAGAGCGAAACTCCGTCTCAAAAAAAAAGAAAAAAAAGAATTAATTCGATGTTGTGGTGCATTCCTGTAGTTCTGGCTACTTGGGAGGTTGAGGCAGGATGACTGGCTTGAGCTGAGGAGTTAGAGGCTATAGTGAACTATGGTCACAGTGCATGACATCCCCATGAAAGTGCAAGACCCTGTCACTTAGAAAAAAATAAAATATATTGGGCCGGGTGCGGTGGCTCAAGCCTTTAATCCCAGCACTTTGGGAGGCCGAGGCGGGTGGATCACGAGGTCAAGAGATCGAGAGCATCCTGGTCAATATGGTGAAACCTCGTCTCTACTAAAAATACAAAAAAAAAAAGTAACTGGGCGTGGTGGCACATGCCTGTAATCCGAGCTACTCAGGAGACTGAGGCAAGAGAATTGCCTGAACCCAGGAGGCGGAGGTTGCGGTGAGCCGAGACCGCGCCATTACACTCCAGCCTGGGTAATGAGAGCGAAACTCCGTCTCAAAAAAAAAAAAAAAAAAGAAAAAAAGAAAATACAAAGTTAAAAAAAATTGTGGTGTTCTTACTGTAGTGGTAAAAGTGTTTATTTTTCCCTTTGTGTTTGTTGTTCCCTTTTAGCTATCGTGCCAGGTTCTGAAAAGATCAGGAGACTAGTTGAAGTCTTGAGAGCTGATGTAATTCGGGGCCTGGGAGTTCAGCTTTTAGAGCAGGTGTATGATCTTTTGGAAGAGGAGGATGAATTCGAGAGAGAGGTGAGCGTCTTATTAGCTGTATCAAGCTGCTTATGATAAAGAATTTTTAAAATAACCTTTTGAAATATAAATCCTGCATACAATTTACTCATCTAAAGTGTACAATTCAGTGGTTTTTAATGTGTTTTCAATGTTGTACAATCATCACTACAATCAATATTAGAACATTTTCATTACCCGACAAGAAACCCTGTACCCGTTAGTAGTCACTCCCATGATCCCCTTTGCCAAATCTGAAGTCATGATGATTTATTTGTATATTTTCTTCTAAGAGCTTTTTAGTTTTAGCCCTTACATTTAGGTCTTTGGACACTTTTTTATTTTTTTTAAGGAAAATTTAAACTTTAGGTTGGGTTTGGTGGCTCACACCTGTAATCACAACACTTTTAGGAGGCTTGGATGGATGAATCACCTGAGGTCAGGAGTTCGAGACCAGCCTGGCCAGCATGGTGAAAGCCCATCTCTACTAAAAATAATAAAAATTAGCTGGACATGGTAGTGTGCACCTGTAATCCCAGCTACTCTGGAGGCTGAGGCAAGACAATCGCTTGAACCTGGGAGGCAAAGGTTGCAGTGAGCTGAGATCATCCTACTACTACCCTCTAGCCTGGGTGACAGAGTGAGACTCCATCTCAAAATAAAATAGAGTAAAATAAAATAAACTGTATTACCTATTGCCTAAAACATGAGAACTATATACATTCTAAAAGAGTTACAAATTGTAGTGTCAGCAGTAAATGTGAATCATACTCAAGAAATTCTATACTGGTAGTTTTTTTTTAAATGAAATTTTATCTTATTCTGATAAAGACTAATGTATGCCTGATAACCTAGTGATAATTTATAAGTTTGGTAGTTCACAACATTTTTAGAAAGCACATAATATTAACATGCAAGTAAAGCATTTTAGGAAGTTTTTTAAAGAATGAAGGGCTGGTTGGGCAGGGATGGGTTGGAACAACAAAAAAAAACAGATTGAAGCGTTTACCATAATTATTTTTAAAAACCTTGGTTCATCTTGAAAGATCGATGAATTTTTTTTTTTTTTTTTTGAGATAGAGTCTCACGCGGTTGCCAGCCTGGAGTGCAGTGGTGCAGTTTCGGCTCACTGAAACCTCTGCTTCCTGGATTCAAGTGATTCTTGTGCCTCAGCCTCCTGAGTAGCTGGGATGACAGGCATGTACCACCATACCCGGCTAATTTTTGTATTTTTAGTACAAATGAGGTTTCAACATGTTGGCCAGGATGGTCGTGATATCCTGACCTCGTGATCCACCTGCCTTGGCTTCCCAAAACACTGGGCCATAAGTTCTTGGATAAGCACAAAAGTTGAATGAATTTTCAACAAAATGTAATTAACATCTATGTTTTCAGTTGTTACTTAGGTTAAGAAATGTGGCTGGGCGCAGTGGCTCAAGCCTGTAATCCCAGCACTTTGGGAGGCCGAGGCGGGTGGATCACGAGGTCGAGAGATCGAGACCATCCTGGTCAACATGGTGAAACCCCGTCTCTACTAAAAATACAAAAAAAAAAAATTAGCTGGGCATGGTGGCACGTGCCTGTAATCCCAGCTACTCAGGAGGCTGAGGCAGGAGAATTGCCTGAACCCAGGAGGCGGAGGTTGTGGTGAGCCGAGATTGTGTCATTGCACTCCAGCCTGGGTAACAAGAGCAAAACTCCGTATCAAAAAAAAAAAAAAAAAAAAAAAAAAAAAATGTGGGGGCCGGGCGCGGTGGCTCAAGCCTCTAATCCCAGCACTTTGGGAGGCCGAGGCAGGTGGATCACAAGGTCAAGAGATCGAGACCATCCTGGTTAACATGGCGAAACCCCATCTCTACTAAAAATACAAAACATTAGCTGGGTGTGGTGGCGCATGCCTGTAATCCCAGCTACTCAGGAGGTTGAGGCAGGAGAATTGCCTGAACCCAGGAGGCGGAGGTTGCGGTGAGCCAAGATTGTGCCATTGCACTCCAGCCTGGGTAACAAGAGTGAAACTCCATCTCAGAAAAAAAAAAAAAAAAGAAATGTGTTTTAGGATCTACTTACCAGTTTCTCTTTTTGATGCAAATATATAATCTGCCCTGATAAGTAACAAGGCATAGTACCCCCCTCCCAAAAATAAAAGAAAAAGAGAAAATCCATTCAAAGTGCCCAGCCAGATCGATGAATTTTTAAAATATCGGAAGAAAAGGAAAATAAAATTTCCCCCGCAAAATACATAAGAAACACTTACTGGCACTTGTATTTTAAGTACCTGGAGAAAAATAGAACAGATTTTTAAAGGCAATGGATAACAGCTGGTACAAGGGCTTGTTTCATTTGATTTAGTACCAGGTAAATTAAGAGTAAACATGCCATGGAAGACATAGTTGAGTTTTTCCTTCGCCTCTCATATTGCCCCACTTCTACAGACCACAGTACATCAGCAACCATCCTTGTTGCTCCACTAAGGAATCACTTTAGAGTCCATTTTTTTTTGTTACTTTTGTTGTTACATAAATTAACCCATTTATTATTATAGGCCATTGATGTCTCAAAGAGTAAAGGAGCATCTACTGGTCTTTCAGTTCCTTCAGTCTTCTGATGGTGAACTTTACTGTGACAGCAGAAGTGGTATTGTACGTCCAGGCACCACCAGATTCCAATTTTTAAATGGCTGGTCAGATGACACCAGTAAAGTTCTTTCCCTTTTTTTTTTTTTTTTTGAGACGGAGTTTCACTCTTGTTACCCAGGCTGGAGTACAATGGCGCGATGTCGGCTCACTGCAACTTCCGCCTCCTGGATTCAGGCAATTCTCCTGTCTCAGCCTCCCGAGTAGCTGGGATTACAGGTATGCGCCACCATGTCCAGCTAATTTTTGTATTTTAGTAGAGACAGGGTTTCACCATTTTGACCAGGATGGTCTCGATCTCTTGACCTCGTGATCCACCCGCCTCGGCCTCCCAAAGTGCTGGGATTACAGGCTTGAGCCACCACACCCAGCCCAGGTTCTTTCCCTTTAAGATAAGGTATCAGTGAATGCTAACAGGTATCAATTTCTTTGATTAGGAACAAACAGCTCCTTCAGGAAATTCACTTACTTTCCTATCTTTGTTAATCTATCGTGTAAATTCTTTTTATCGGCATACTAATTATGATTGATTGCTATTTATAGCAAAGGAACATTCTCCGGACACACCTGATCTATTTACCAATGACAAAGTGTGCTTACTTTACATAGTGCCATGGATTTCTCTTTTTCTTTTACTTTTGGGAGGGGAGTAGTATACCTTGTTATTTATCAGGGCAGATCATACATTTGCATCAAAAAGATAAACTAGTAAGTAGATCCTAAAACACATTTCTTAACCTAAGTAACATCTGAAAACATAGATGTTAATTACATTTTGTTGAAAATTCATTCAACTTTCATGCTTATCCAAGAACTTTTAACATAATTTCTGATATAACTCATAACTCTCAGTACATATGTATTTTCAAAAGAAAACAAGTGATCAAGTAATATTTTTATCTATGCTAACTGGTACATTTTTATAGCAAATTGAAAATTCTGAGTAAACTGAAAATATGTTTAACACCAAAATAAATAAAGTGTATGTGGTTAGCTTATATATTTCTTAGTATAAAGGCAGAAGTGAATTTGTATCTTACAACAAGTCTATAAATCCAATTGCATTTTTTTTTTTTTTTTTTTGAGACAGCGTCTGGCACTGTCGCCCAGGCTGGAGTACAGTGGTTCGATCTCGGCTCACTGCAATCTCCACCTCCTGGGTTCAAGCAATTCTCCTGTCTCACCCTCCCGAGTAGCTGGGACTACAGGTGTGCACCACCACACTCAACTAATCTTTTTGTATTTTTTTGTAGAGATGGGGTTTCACCATGTTGGCCAGGGTGGTCTCGATCTCCTAACCTTGTGATCTGCCTGCCTCGGCCTCCCAAAGTGCTGGGATTACAGGCATAAACCACTGCACCTGGCCCCAATTGCTTTTTTTCTGGAATTTTATATAGTGTCTCACCATGTTCCACAATACTAAAAATGACTTTTTTGGCATCAATCTATGCAAAAATTTCTTTCTTTCTTTTTTTTTTTTTTTTTTTTTGAGATAGTGTTTCACTCTGTCACCCAGGTTCTAGAGTGCAGTGCAGTGACTCAATCTCGGCTCACTACAACCTCTGCCTCCTGGGTTCAGGCAATTCTCCTGCCTCAGCCTTCTGAGTAGCTGGGATTACAGGTGCGTGCCACCATGCCCAACTAATTTTTGTATTTTTAGTAGAGATGGGGTTTTGCTATGTTGACCAGAGTGGTCTTGAACTCTTGACCTCAAGCAGTCTGCCCACCTTGGCCTCCCAAGGTGCTAAGATGATAGGCATGAGCCACCCTGCCTGGCTTATGCAAAAATTTCTGATATTTTCCCCAAATGGCATGTAATTTTTTTTCTCAGAATTTTATTAACTACTTTTTCTTACCGATCAAAAAGTTAAATTACTACTAGTTTCTCTTTTAGTTTTGCTCTAATACATGTTTTAAAAGTTTAAACATCTCTGATGTTTTTGAAAATAACTGGATAAAACACACTAGATGATTTCAAAAGATGGGTCTCAGTATCTGTCTCATTTGGCACTTCCTTAGTATCCAGAATAAATTAATAGAAATAAAAGTAATATAATTTTCAAATAATTCATACATACTGGAAGTCTTAGGAAAAGCAGCTTCTAAATGCAAGGACTAGGAGGTTTACTCATCTTACTTGTTATATGTGTTTCTCCTCACGGAGTAACTGAAGAGCTTTCTGGCTTGTTTGTGCAACTTTAGTTGGTAGGAAAGCATATACAAAGGGCCAAATCTTCTTGGTTTCCATTCTGGAGAATGTTTCCAATACACCTTTTTTCTGGTAATATTCAAAGACTGGCTTTGTTGGGCTTCGTAAGCCTTTAGTTTCTTGATAACCATCTCTGGTTTATCATCCTCATGCTGAATAAGAGGCTACCCAGTCAATCA